ACTCTCTGAAATGCCATTTCCTGGACTTTGGGGAGAGATTTTACAGAATTCTGATGGTCATAAAACGACATTGTAACATATCAGAGGCCCTGGTCAATGTTTTTGCCCTATCGCCTAAGCCTGGGGGCCCCCATTTGGGTTGGGGGCCCCCAGGTTCACCCGGTCTGAGCCCATAGTAGTTACGCCACTGGTCTGTCTAGTTCACATGTGTCAAATTTGCTTGCATCTTTATAATAGTGCTGACAACCACATTTTCATTAGATAAATTTGCAAGCTTTGCGAAAATACAGGGCAGCACTTAAGTACTTTATAAGTGCACGACAACCCGCCCCCAACAATGTAGAAATATATTTGACCATAATTAATTGACAATTTCATGCCCATCAAGCATTAATTTGATGAACAAAAATCAGTGTGAATGTGAGACACCTGACTTGTCCATAATATTAAATGGACTTGAATAGAGAGAAAACTGTTTAACCATCAGGCTGTGTTCATGAGGCCCTGATGGGATTATGACCAGTGTTCTCTATTATACTTAGTTAATTAACTAATCTAATGTGGCCCAATTATACACACGCACGCCCCAGGCCGGACAGATTTTATACTGTTGTGCAGTCTTTTCTGAGTAAAGTAATTTTTTCACAAGACCCTTCTCTCTAATTAAATAAAAATTTCATGCCCACCAAGCATTAATTTGATAAACAAAAATCAGTATGAATGTGAGACTGACTTGTCCATAATATTAAATGGACTTGAATAGAGAGAAAACTGTTTAACCATCAGGCTGTGTTCATGAGGCCCTGATGGGATTATGACCAGTGAGAATTATACTTAGTTAATTAACTAATTTAATGTGACCCAATAATTACACATGCATGCCCCGGGCCGGACAGATTTTATAAGTTGTTCTGATATCATTTTGACACTGTTTATTTGGGTTAAACACTGATTTATAATTACAGTAATATATGAAATAAAAAGAAATTTTATTGTCCAATGCGATTTTCCCTTCTAACTAATGACTTATACTTGTCTCTAATCTGTTGCTTTGTAAATTCTGTTCCAGACAGGCATGACGTGAAAAATTGCCGTTATTTAGAGCTGAGATGATTGATTTAACAGGCAAGTTCTCATCTCGTGGCAAATCGGCAACTGCTTCCTTGAAATATCGCTCTTCATCTGCAGTCATTTTCCTTCAACTACACGTTTTTGCAAATGATTTGCTTGGTGGTTGAAATGATGGTGGTATTGAACATGATGGCGATGATAAATTTGACTGGTTCACATTCGTAGTGGAGGTTGACTTGTCTGGTGTATGTGGATGTTCCACTGGTTCGTCAGACTCTGGTTCGATGTTGGTATGGACTTGATTTTTGATAAATTTATATGTGTTAATTGCGTCTTCAGTTCTGTCCTGAAGAGCATATGTTTCTGAAGTTGATGGTAAGTGTGTCATCGCATTAGCTAGATGCCCACTTTCTATGTTTGCATTGCATTTGCGAGAAAGTTCACGCTGTGTGGTCACTACAGTCTTGCGAATAATTGTAGCTGTAAAATGGACATCTGAATTGGGACAAAGACATGCAGCAATGTTGTTTACTTGCTGCGTAACGTTTTTACAATGTAAGTCTGACATTGTCAGAAAGAAATAATTTTCGAATTGTGTTCCCTGTGATGAAGACATTGCAAATTCAGGGCGTAGATATCTGAGATAAAGACAGCCCATATCAAAGTCTGTTTTACTCCAAACTAATGGTGCTGGTCCATTGCCGGATGTTTTATGTTGCCAAGTGTGTGTTACCATTAGAGAATCCCTTCACCGTTATCACAAATTTCTGCTCCACAGTGAGGTTTGCAATGGCGTCGGGTCGCTGCACTTTCCTGAGTTGAAGTGATAAAATTAGGTAATCTCTGAATTCTATAAAAATATTGTCTGTGACAATAGAGTCGGCCGACAGTTGAAGGAAATCATTGCGAACTTGCAAAGACTTGTTGAAGTCTAAAACCCTTTGGTGTGCTTCAGGTGCAATCAACAATTGTTTATCGCGCAATCTTAGTTTGTGCGCTCTACAACGTTTGTCTTTGTTTATAATTTTCACCCATTTTTTTATATTTACTAGTGTGGCATCGATTTTGTTTATGTCCTGTTGTTCAATTGTGATCAAAGAACACTGTGATAAAGAATATGACTTGGCAAATTTGAGAAATGAAGTATACGAGGATAGATAATGAGTTAGCGTACCGGGTTGTTTAGGAGATTCTCGAAAATTGTTTCCTTCGCTGTCTGATCATGGCAACAGACTCCGGTCGCCACAGCAGAGAGCAGTCATTGACATTTTTGTCGACCTGGTATAGCAACCTCGCCACATTGCCTACCTCTTCCTTGGATTATGTTTTTTGTCCGCCATCAAATGACGCCGAGTACTTATTAAAGATGGTAAATATTTTGTTTTTAATTTTGCCTTCTAATTCCTGCTTCGCAACGTCTTGGGGACAAAGTGGTCCTTCTAGGGGTATAGGTAACCTCCCCTTTACCTCGTCTTGGGGACACCATGGTTCTTCCGGGGACATAGGTAAGTCCTCCTTTACCCCATCTTCGGGACACAGTGGTTTTTCCAGGGTCATACGTGTAACGTCGCATTCCTCAATTTTTCTCTACATCGCATCCCTCTGCATATTCTGGCCTTTCTCACCAATCTGTGTTGCATAATTAGAATTACCTGGTTTTGCAAGCTCTAATTCTAAGACAATTTATTGAACATTGTAAAATGGAAAGGCATGTTTCATCATAGTTAATAGAGGAGATGGTTTGGAAACTCTTTAGCATTACAATAAACCTCATTATCTATGTTGGTCAGGTTTATGCAAAAATGTGGTCTTTCGTTGTCATGTGTATATTGTATTTTTGCTCAACCAGCCAATAGCAACAGTTCTGTCCTATTGCCCATCCATGACTTTAACAATAGGACATTTTGAACATTCCTATTGGTTGACTTGAGAAAAATACAATACGCATGTGACGATGAAAACCACATTTTTGCATAAACCCGAACAACATAGATAATGAGGTTTATTGTAATGCTAAAGAGTTTCCAAACCATCTCCTCTATTAACTATGGTTTCATTAATAACATACTTACGATATGTATTCTGGTGAATCTTTGTGGTGTTTATGGAATTTGCTTAGGTGATGTCAGACTCGCACAATTAAACGTGAACAATTCTCCACCATGCATGGCACCAATTCCGCCAGTTTGGAACCTTGATGTTTACCAACCCTTTGCTCACGCCCTGCATAACATGTGTGCAATATAGAATAACCATGCACTCTTCTGAGATGTGCTTGGCGAGACGATTTTGCTTGCACTCAGGACATTTCTTTTTTGCCGTCTTGAAAAGAGCAGTGGTAGAATTATCTTACAAGAATGATGTATACCATACGTTTTCTAAACCACAATGACTGACGTAAGCGACTATAGTGTACTTATATGGTATTATATAGACTGGCTAAAAATATGGAAAGGGGATAAATGGCACGCAGCTGTTGAAGTTCGTCGTGGTATGGAAGGATTATTCAGGTTATTTTATTACACTACAGTCATAAAAGTCTCACATCTTATAACAATTCTGCCACAAGTTGTTATCACACTGCTTGTTCCAAGCGGTCCAAAAATAGGTGACAACTTGTTAACTTGTAACAACCTTGCTGAATTATCAGAGTTGTTGTTGTGAACAAGTCTGGAACATGCGTGATATACCAACATTGTAACAATCGTTTGGTGTCAATCTTGTAACATCCTGGTTATATCATGATGGATAATACTAGACTTCTTAGCCCAACCTTGTATAACAAGTCCGATTATGCCATCAAGCTTGTTACAACAACATGCATGCAACAAGCTTCGATGGATCCTATGCACTGTCAAATATCTGCTTAGTTTAAATACATACCTTTTTCTTCACAAGCAGTAGCATATTGCTTCGACCACAGCTTTGATCTCTTTATCTGTATTCTCTTCTGGCAAAATATTTTCCATTTTTTATTAAACGCAACTGAATTGTAGCTTGTTCGTCCACGCTACCGAGTTTTAATTCGTTCTAATTAGTTGTCATTGTTCACGTATCAAAACGAGCAAAGGCCGGCATAAGACATCAGCAAATTACTCGCACACACACACTTGCCCAAATCATGTAGTGGTCATTGCGGAAATGAGTTTAGATTAATCCTACTTATATATTTCCTTTTTTTCATACTTCCAGGCACTGTTCTCACAGCAAAAGACAACAAGGAAGAGTTCGATCTGCAAACCGTTGAAACAGTCAAGAAGAATTCTATGTTGACTATATGAATTTCTATGTTGACTATGCGAGAATTGACTAATATTGTTTATGGCTGGGAAACATACCCGTAATATTGAAGCCATGGCATGTTGCGCTTTTCAGCACTGAAAGTCCACCTTAAGAATTTTCCTTTGCAATAATTGGAAACCTTAAACTCATTTCATTTTTGGTACATTTAGCGTGCAGTTTATATCAACCTGGATTTGCGAAAAGACATTAAGATTCTCGCAAACCTGAGTAATTTATTTCTTGTGTTGAACCTTTTGTTCAGATAGCGCGAATCGAACAAGCACGCTATTTAGCAAGTAGGCCGCAATCAAATGATCAATTAGCCATGTCACAGACATGTGTTGTTGGCATTGGAAACGTATTTATCATATTTCACGAATTGAACATTTCATGTTCAATTAAGGGAAGTTCACAAACTATTTGTTGTAAATGGATTAAATCGAACGAATCTACAACAATATTTCCAGAATGTGCGCGAATCAAGCAGAAACAATTCTCGTACTTTGCGCTCCCATATTCAACTGCTTCAGACCTGGACCATGGTGTAATGTATTTAATTTACAATATAGCATGATGTATCTAAGGTGTACCATCAATTTGTGCCCTATCAATTTGCTTAATCTGAGATTCGACAAATGCCTGGATCTGGGTTAGAGTTATTTATTTGCTGTTGCATGTTAACTTCTATAGTTACATCTCTGAAGCAATCAGTCTTAAGTGCAAGCCTGTACTCTGCTGCTCTTTTGAATGTTCCCCATGTTTTGTCCACAAACATTTTTAATGACTCATCCTGACTGGCCTTGCAAATAATACATTCATGTCCAGTTTTATCGCTATCAATGGATTTCTATTTTCTATTGTAGTTACATCTGTTGCCTGTATATAAAGGAAACTACTATTTACTTGTTTAGCTCTTAATTTTTAATTAGCCTTTGACGAATATCCGCCATTTTTGGGTGGCATCAAATTCTCGTTAACCAATGCAGACAATTAAAACAATGTGAAAAGCAATTTTTCAAAACAAACTAACCTTTTACAAAGCAAATTTACCATCATTCATCCAAAATATTATAGAAAGTCGCTGTTATGTGGACTTATCTCGCAGATTTCGGCAGAAATGTCACCCAAAAATGGCGGCATGAGAAAGGCTAATTTGAAATGTTTAAGCTGAAATCACTAAAAATTATGCATACTTGATTTGGTGATTCATGATTTGCAATGTTGTGATGGCTCTCCTCATCATCTAATGTTGCGTCTCTTGCCTTAAAAAGTCAGTTCAATGGATAAATTATGTTTCACTGTGATTAATATTAAACTGTAACCATCATACCATACAAAACCATACCTCATGAAATGTTTCATGATTATTGAATTATTGACAATCCATAAAGGTTATGTATTAGTAACATTAAAATAGAACTAAAAAAAGAACAGAGAGAAATGTAGGCTGGATCGATATCGCCAGTACTGAATACCGATATACCGCCATCAGAGTACCGGTAAATACCGGTATTCCGATATTTTTAACTTTTTTTTTAAGCCAAACTGAAGTGCTGACCGTCAAGAAAAATCAAGTTTTGACAAAATATTAATGTGGCACATACTGTTATTAGTGCAAATGGAGGACACAAATGTTCGTTCTATTTTGGTTTCATTTGGTATCTCGAATGTTTGACCTAGCCTATTTTCGTGCTATTCTTCGCAGGGGTCCCATGGCCACATGCAGCATGTGGCCCCCGCCAGACATTCATTTTTAGACATGCTGGACCATGTATTAGATGCTCTTGTATCCAAATGTTGGTACCTAGTTCGTTTAATCAAAGTGTTTTGGGCTGCCGCTCTAGCAATGAAACAGTTTCGTTTCTTCAGCAAACACAGATAAATATTGCATTTTGAAAATCCAGTTTTGCAATATCTGCATTTTCGTTGTTTTTCCTGGAACTCTGGAAAATGTGCTACTTTGTCTTGATAAATAGCTTTTGGTCGTATAGGGACTGTTGGTGGTCATCTCTGCTTGACAGGTGTTTCTCTTTCCAAGGATGGTCTACCTCTCTTTTGGGTTACAACTTTACCAGATCGAATGAGGCTATCGGCTATCTGGGAATGAAATTGAATCAATTTCAGCTCATTCTTTTTCTCCTCCCCTTCCTGCTCCATATGTCTCCGATATAAAAGCCAACCATTTGTTACTGAGATACCAAGGCAATAATAGATAATGTGCATATAGTACTTCAGAGAACATTGAGATATGCATAGAGGGAAAGTAGCATGTAACAAAGGTCAATCCCTCCCATATGAATATTATGCTCATGGACTGCAAGGGGCCTGTTTATCTGAATGTGCTTTTTTTCTTTCTTTGACCATCTTCTTGCTTATGGACCAAGTTCTTTACCCACATAATTTGATACCAATTAAACAGACCCACTATCTAACCATCTAATTACTGTTATGCCACTATTTGCCTCCACAATCCAATCCATGCTACCCCGTCCATTATGTTTCAATTCCTTTTCACTCTTTAGATGCTTTTTTGCTCCCTTTAGCCGATCTTACCGAATAGTTGCAACTGCCCATATTTTTTGCTTTGTCAAATACTGCAATAATTTCGGAGATGAAAAGTAGTTGTCAAAGTAAAGCTTGCGATTAACATTTGATGGCAGAGTTTCACACAGGCGGCGTACCACATTTCCACCCATAAGAAGTGAAGGGAAATCTTCATCCTGATCAGATTTGCCTGTGTAAACTTAAAAGTCTTACACTAGCCTACTAACCCCACACCTTGCCCAGACTTTAATTCCCCATTTATTAGGCTTTTTGGGACAGAATTGTTTCAAACTTGTGCGGCTTTTTGTCGGTATTATCTGCTCATCGACAGAGTGTTTTTCTTCTTGCGGAACTTTCCTACATTTTGTTACAACAGATTCAATCACTGGTCTCACTTTAATTAATTTGTCATGCCCTGGTTGGCCTGCAGGTATGATTTTGAAATTGTCATTACAATGAAAAAACCTTTGTAGCTTGTCAAACCGAGCAACAGGCATTAACTGGGATCCAGGTTTCTTTTGCCCAGTACATTCTGACTTGTGGCAACTTGATAACTGACATCATAGTTAGAAGGCCTAGATATTGCTCTATTTCAAGTTGGTTAGTATTTACTGAGGTTCTGGTTTGCTGAGCCGAGTACAAGTTTGTTTGTTCAGCAAGATGTTCAAATAACTTGTCAAAAAACATCTTGAAGTATTCTATAGGGCTAACCTGTTCATCTGGAGGTAGTGGTAATCCAGGACCAATATACGTAACATCAAATTGCACAGGATTGCATTTCCTCCAATGCACATTCATGTCGCTTTCGTTGCCATTTTGTTGCTTTTGTGCTGCTTCAGTTGAATTAGGTCTGGGATTATTTATACCTGGGTCCTCAAGTCACTTTCATCATTGCTATCACTAACCTCGTAATCATAATCACCAACATTATCTTCAAGGTCTTCAGAATCACTTTCTTCTTCACTTATATTTGGATATAGCACAAAAGGGTTTTCCACATGAATTCTTTGAATACAAGGTGCACATTATCTACCATAAAATGAAGAAGTTGGTGTGGCACCTTTGTTGTTACCCATTATCTGACTCTGTGAAAAAAGAATATTTGTTATACTATATTATCTCATATACATCAAAAATAAAGTTTCAAATAAAGTTAATATTTCACTAATCACTATGAAGCTGGATGGGTCAAAATATGGAATAGGTAAACATCTGTTTGTCAAGCAATATTCAGGAAAATAAAGTGCCATAGATTGTACAACTGGCAACACTTCATACACTCATTACTAGCATAAAATCGCCTACTTTCTACAACTAAAAAATAACAAGAATGGGACCACAATACAACCTTTGATGCACAATGTTATTGTACAACAACAAATCAGCTGTTGTCGTTTACAACAACTCAGACAATCGTAGCCCAAATTATTGGTTTGGTGTGGCATAATAAAGCTATAAACAATCCCCCAAGATTTTTTAAAATATTATTTTCATATAGCATTATAAATAAATATCATGAAACTTACCTCATAGCACAGTCAACATTTATCTTTCACATCCGCTACATAAAATCATGCCCACAGAATTATATTTTACATCAATGGCCGACTAGTTTCCAAGCTCCCAAATTGTGAGGGTAATAAAAGCTTTGCATAAGTTATTCTGATAATTGTAATCTCTTTAGAGAAATAAATATATTCTCTCCACAAATCTCTTCTACAGGTGTATAATGTGTTATTTTTGTGGTATAATATATTATTTTGTGATGTGTGCTTCGAGTGTTTCAAGTGCCAATCTAAAGAAAACTAGAGCCCGTATTTTTTGTTTGGATTGGTCAGCAGTGAGACGCGTAAATACAAATTTTCGTTTTGTAGACTTTTTTATTTCTTTCATTGTGTTTTATTTTGTTTCTATGGTTGTTTTATTTTGTTTATGGACAAAAGTAAAGATATTTCTTGTGTTTGTAAAAATTGAACTTCCAGCCGTTTTTGTCCTTCCAAATCCTATGAAAATGACTTTGAAAGCCGCTTTAAAATGTTTTATTTGACTTGCCGAAGAAAACTTTGTGATACATGTAAGGGATGCTTGTATTTTGTTTGTTACTTAGTTTACTTTAAAAGTGCATTCTAGAACATTCTAAATGTGTGTTTATATATGTGAGTATAAATATACCAAAGTGCTCTTCGAACAGGGACAATTGAGATCTTATATATATATATCTTACCACTGCATGTAGTAACATGAGAATTAGTAATGATATTAATGTGATTTTGTATTTTCTTTGCTGGAAAGCCCCATGACACCTAAAGCCAAGAAAAAACCCCTTATGTTTCTTGTCCCGATTTCTGCCAAAAAGCAGGGAAGCAGGGCATTTTTTTTCTTAGCCAAAGTAATAAGCTTTCATACAGTTAGTAAGAAAAATACACGCAATATTAAAAACGTCAATTATAAAAGGGCTTTTAAAGTAACTTTTTTAATATCTTGTATAATAAATTTTGTTTAAATGAATATGCAGCCAAGCATGGCAAAACATGACAAGCATGCTGTGAGTAGTTCATGGCGGTTCGTCAGCGGATAGGATTTTGAATGAGCCCACAGTAGTTCCAGATTAATACTTCAAGTTATCAAAAAGAAAGTTCAAAAACATGAAGCGAAATTTGTAGAGGAAAACCAGCAAAAAAAGGAAGCAGCCAATAAAAAAGGAAGCGGGCGGGGACGAGAAACACAAGTTTTTTTAATTGGCCTAATTAAACCGCTCGCATGCTATTGTTCTTGTGAAAGGTCAATTCAATGTCAAAGTTTTATTGAAATATTTCAAGGGTTGATCAGCTAGTTTTTGAAAACAAGGCATCACCGTACTGCGACTTATTCTCACATTAAAATATGGTTGTGTCAAAACGATCTCTTGATACCCGGCGAGCAAGCGAGAAAATAAACTCATGTTGTATAATCTGACCGATTGTTCACATGCTCTGAAATGTGTGTTTTGCAAAGAAAATACAATATATGTAAATTTGAGTTAGTCCTAACAGACAAAAGGCACCCAAAACATAAACTACACATGCAGAATACAATTTTACTCAGCTGTCTTGAACAGGGAAGATCACACTCACGCCTAATTGTTATAGTGATGAATTGTCACATCTGTTGAAGTTGACACGACAGTAAACCACATATATCCGTATCAAAGGGGTTGATCGGTTAGATTTCAGGCTACACCATTCGTTATTTCAGTACTTTCTTTCCCTGATCATGGATCCATCTATTTTACACTGTGAACGAATAATTGTCAAACAAAAACTACAAACTCACAAACCAAGCATAAATCCCAAGAGAATTTGTTCACTAGAAGATTCCATCAGAAAATTTCTGACCATTTCATTCTGATCTGTATGTCACAATCGGTCTAATTAATGATAATTTCTTCCTTGTTAATTTCATTTCTCATGAAAAACATTCGATTGAGAGTGAACATGTAACCACTCATTCAATTCAGATGACATCTATACATGGGCTCAGTACGATTAGATTAGCGAGAGCAAAGCACAATGTAACGCTTGTGGCTTGTGTCTTTTTGTGATGTCCTAATGTATTCGTCTTCTTTAACTCATTAACGTGCAAGCTGTTACAATGTTTCTACCTCCCAACACCCAAGCAATACGGCGAATATGTGATTGAATTCAGGAGCTTTCACCAAAATGGCTATATCTCCAGAAACAGTTGCATGAAAAAATCTGGTCTTTTCAACCAAATATTATTGATATATGATTGACCAAATTTGTTTAAATGAACTTGCATACCTATATATATATAATTAGTTTTTTAAATGAGAATTTTTATTTGTAAAGCAGTGACACTTTGTTTTTCATGTCACTCATCACCTAAAGGGGCAATATCTCCATAAATTTATATAAAACAGGTTATGGGCCCTTGTCTTCAACGGAGATGAAAGCAAGTATGAACTCTGGGAGGTGAAGTTTCTCACATTCATGAGGATTCAGAAACTTTACGATGTGTTTGTTCCTAGCACAGACGAACGGGAGCTAGATGAGGCAAGGAATGAAACTGCCTTCGCCAAATTGGTCCAATGCTTGGACGATCGAAGTTTGTCTCTGATCATAAGAGAGGCAAGGGACGACGGGAGAAAATCCTTGACGGTGCTACGTGAATATTACCAAGGTAAAGGAAAACCAAGGATCATCGCTTTGTACATGGAGCTGACCTCGTTGAAAAAGGGCGAGAACGAAAACACGACTGATTATATGCTCCGAGCGGAGACTGCCTCGACGGCGCTTAAATCAGCCGAAGAAGTCATTAGCGATGGACTGCTAATAGCTATGATTTTAAAGGGACTTCCGCAAAGTTATAAAATATTTTCAACTGTAGTCATACAGCGGGAGAAGCCGATGACTTTTAGTGAATTCAAAACAGCCTTACGCAACTACAAGAAGAATAAAAAGAGTTGCAAGACGGAAGACCAAGACAACGTGATGTACACAAAGCCACAAAAATGCTTTGACGGAAAATGTTTTAAATGCGACAGAAAGGGTCACAAAAGCTCGGATTGCTGGACAAAGACCGAGAAGTGGTGCAGTAATTGTAAAAGTAAGACCCACAATACGAAGGACTGCAGAAGCAAGAAAGACGGCAAGGACGCCACTAAGACAGCAAATGAACCGAAGAAAGAAGACAACAATGGACACTCGTTTACTTTCACACTCAAAGACTCAAACGACAGAAGAAATATGGACAATGAAAACTTACTAGTGGACACTGGAGCGACTAGTCACATAATTAATGACAGTTCAAAATTTATAAATTTTGATGAAAACTTTGATTCTAGCACTCATTTTATGGTATTAGTTGACGGTAGTAAATCTAACGTTGTATTAGGAAAAGGGAATGCTAAAGTTAAGCTATTTGATGTAAAGGGAAATATGCATGATGTTATGTTGTATAACACACTCTACATTCCATCCTATAACCAAAATATCCTTTCAGTTTCAGCCGAAGTAGGTAGAGGAGGCTCAGTAAACTTGGGTAAACAGGTAAGTAAATACACCACTGAGGAAGGCAATATATTTGAGATCAGGCAGAAAGAGCGTTTGTACTATTTAAATAGCGTATCATCATCAAGTAATAATGCTAGTTCAATAGAGGAGTGGCACAAGATTTTAGGCCACTGTAATTACGGAGATGTTAGAAAGCTAGAGCAGGTAGTTAAGGGCATGAAGATCACTGATCACAAGGAGCCAGAATGTGAAGTATGCACTCAGGGCAAAATGTGCCAGACTAGAAGTAGAGAGCCAGACCAGAGAGCAAAGGCACCCTTGGAATTTGTACATTGTGATTTGGCAGGGCCAATAGAGCCCACTGCCAAAGACGGATTTAAATATGCTTTATCGTTTGTAGACGATTTCACAGGTATAAACATGGTCTATTTCTTGAAACAGAAGAGTGACACTACAGAAGCAACAGAGAAATACATAGCTGACGTTGCGCCTTATGGAAAAATCAAGCGACTATGTAGCAACAATGGAGGTGAGTTCATTAGTTATCGATTTAAGAGTCTCTTAAGAAAGCACGCAATCAAGCACGAGACAAGTGTGCCGTACTCACCGCATCAGAACGGTACAGTAGAAAGAGCATGGAGAAGTTTGTTTAGCACGGTGATGTCTTTTGCTAGAAGCAAAATTACCAAAACATTTGTGGACATATGCTGTGATGGCTTCAGTCTATATCCGAAATAAATGTTTTAATCCACATTTAGGGAAAACACCCTACAAAGCATTAATCGGTAAGCAACCGGATTTGGGTAATATGCATGTGTTCGGATCTACCTGTTATGCGTTTGTACAGAATGCTAAAAAGTTAGATGCTCGTAGCCAAAAAGATATCTTTGTCGGGTATGACAAAGGAAGTCCGGCCTATTTGGTGTTTTATCCGGAGACAAATGGGGTAGAAAAAGTACGATGTGTAAAATTCATTGATAATTTTCAAGCCGAGCAAGTTGAGCATGATTTAATTTCAAACAGAGAGCGAGGTGAGAACACTGATAAGCCTGAGGCCAAGATGCCAAACATTAATGAGGAACAGAACACTCAGGAATTTGAGACTGAGCAAGTAGGTGATGACAAAGATATACACGAACAGCACAAACAAGACATTTATGCAGAAAGGTATCCAACAAGAGCATGCAACAAACCTAATTATTTTGGACTAAATAAGCTAGACGATAACACAAGTTATACAGTTGACTATTGTTATAGGCTTGCAAACATTCCAATAAGTTACAAGCAAGCAGTAGATGCACCAGATGCAAATAGATGGCAAGAGGCCATGAACACAGAAATGAAAGCCTTAACTGCTAATGAAACATTTGAGCTTGTACCACATCCTAAGGATAGGCAAGTAGTGGGGGCAAAATGGGTATATACAGTTAAAACAAACCAAAACGGCAAAGAGAAATATAAAACCAGGTTTGTAGCAAAAGGCTATTCACAAGTGCAAGACATTGATTATAAAGAGACATTTGCACCAACCGCACATATGAGTTCAGTTTGCACTTTATTGCAATGCACGGTTCAGAACAATGTATTTAAATGCACCTATCGATCGAGAGATCTATATTGAACAACCTGAAGGTTTCGAAAAATTAGGAAACAATGGCAAAAAATTAGTGTGTAAACTAAACCGGTCATTATACAGACTTAAACAGAGAGGAAGAAATTGGAACAATTTACTGCATACATTTTTGGTGAAAGAGAAATTTACACAATCACTTGCAGATCCGTGTCTGTATGTTCGCTCAATTGACGAAGAGCGATGTGTTATTGTTATTATTTGGGTCGATGACATTATCATCGCGGCTAGCGATTCCGATTTACTTAATAGTGTAAAAATTTGTTGAGCAATAGATTTAAAATGATGGACTTAGGTGAATTGAAATGGTTTTTAGGTACCAAATTTAAACACAGCAGAGACTGTATAAAGATGAATCAAACCTGGTACATTCAGAAAATTCTTTCGAGGTTTGAAATGTCTGATTGTAAACCTAAACCAACTCCGTGCATTTTAGGGACTGAGAAAGTTTCAAACGAAAAATCACCTGAATTAACTGATCCAAGATTATAGAGGGCAATGGTAGGAAGCTTAATTTACATAATGACTGGAACAAGACCAGATTTATGTTATGTTGTGACAAAATTGTCACAGAAAATGTTGAAGCCCACACAAGCAGACTTAAGCACAGCCAAACACGTCTTAAGATACTTGAAAGGTACACAGGTATTAGGATTAACTTTTAGGAAATCATGTTCTCCACTAATTCTTAAAGGATTTTGTGATTCAGATTGGGGGGCGTCTATTGAAGATAGACGAAGTGTGACAGGCTACAATTTCCAGCTTACACAAGATGGTCCAATGATATCATGGAAAAGCCGAAAACAACCGACCGTGGCATTATCAACGTGTGAAGCGGAGTATGTAGCACTCGCAAATGCAATACAAGAAGCTAAATTCTTGCAACAACTTTGCAAGGACATGAGGGTAAGTATTGAAGGTAAGTTACTAATTATGATAGATAACCAGGGAGCTATGAATTTAGCCAAGAATCCAGTTCATCACCAAAGGTCAAAACACAGATATAAAGTACCATTTTATCAGATCAGAAATACAGGAAGGTCGAATTATTCTAGAGTATATTCCAAGTGAGGAAAATGTAGCTGATATTTTTACCAAGCCAGCCAGCAAGATTAAACTAGGACGTTTTGGAGGTATTATGTCAGGAAAATAGAGCAGAACAAAAATATATAGGAACACCAAGCGCATAATTTAACATGGATATGGTCCAAAGGAACGTAAGTTTAGGGCGTAAGCTTAAGTGTGTAAAATAATAATTAAGAAATATGCTCAGAACATAAAGAGCAAGTGGGGGATGTTAAAGCATGCTCTATAATATCCTGATGATTGATTGTTAGTAATTAATATGATTATATAAAGATATACGATTAGAGAAGATGACGCAGGAACATAATTCCATAGATTCCACACATATATATGTTGTAATGATTATCCAACGATAAACCTAATATGGTAATATGAATGAAAACGTAATGTAATATATCCTAAATGTATAATCATGTGTAATCTTTTATATATAGATGTAATTTTGTTATGTAAAGTCAGAGTGAATAAAACTGTTGAACACTACACACATACTGCTGTAGATTATATCCCCACTCCTATCCGCTTCCTGCGCATTACATTCATGTGACTACAAATTATCGGGGTTAATACCCACGTGTCCCATTACAATAGCTCCCTATCTCTAAAACTAGATGCAGGAAGCAATAAAATCTTTATTGGTATGCCCATAATCCTTTATCGCTTCCTTTCCTTAACACTATGTCAGCAAGATATCCTGCAACGATTAGCTCTGTTTTCTGTGTGCGAACATTGCACAATTGACCAAGTCAGACAGCAACTGAATAATTATGGCAATGTGCGTCTTGCGCAATGCACATGCCGTTTTATTATTTTTTTAAAACAATGAGATAATTATTAACATTTAACAAATATAAAACATTTTCCGTGTTGATATACAGTTATATCAACACGAGTGGAATTGGGAAAACGAGAAATTGTATGGAAACACGACGCCCGAAGGGCAGAGTGTTTTCATACAATTTCGAGTTTTCCCAACTTCCACGAGTGTTGATATAACTATAAATCAATACGGAAAAAAATGTTTTATATTTGTTAAATGTTAATAGCAATGTCAAAAGCCCGAAGGATAAGCAAAATTTCCGTGTTTACAAGCGGCGGAAAATTTCCCGTGTTGACGTGCTCTTAGCCAATCAACGTTCAGAATTTACAAATGCTATATTATAAAACAAATTATAAACCAAAGTTAATTATTAAAAGTTCGCACAGAAAAGGTGGGGTAATAAATACACGCCACGAGTCTCCTAGACTAAAGCTGAGTAAAAAACTGCACTTGAAAATTGGCTATATAGTTTCCAGGCCCGGCGATAAGTAGGGACTGACGATGGCTGCAAACTAGATTGAAGTAATTTAGTTGTTACAGTGGCCAGTTGTACAGGAGTAGTTGGGCTGGTATGACCGTTGGTGACGATTGTACACCCACAGGAGCTACAATCTGTTGCAAAATAAAACGTGCCATCATGGTTTTGAAAGGCTTATCCCCCTTTTCCCTATCCAATGTTGCGATTTGAAGTCGAAATTGAAAAAAAAGGCCTGAAACGGTGCTAAAAATCACTAACCAACATTGACAAGGGTGCGGGAGCATGGAGTGTCTCGTTTATTTTGCATAAGATTGTCTAAAATAGGAACGTTTGGAATGCACACTTGGCGCAGCTCTGATTGTGTAACACGCGAGTGCAGATTATTACTAATACGAGAAGTAAAATTTACTGAGAATCATTAAAAAATATTAGCACACATGTTTGAACAATAACACCCATGTATTTTGTGTTTATTAAGAGGCAGTGCAGTCTCTGTAAAAGCGGTCCACTGCATTTCGGATCAGAAAATAGTTTTCTCCCAAACTTTTACCGTCAAATAGCACATACCAGTAAGTTATGAAACTGACTTTGGTTTTTCAATTTTCATAAAAATAATTTTTTTACAGCGCTTTAGCTCCAGGTGACCGTGTTCGCTGAATTTGCACTTTTCGTCGACTGAAGATTACACATATTTAAAACATCACAGCTCACGGAATATAGAACTTTGCACCATGATCTTTTTTCTCAGTCTTGTTCATTCATTTAAGTGCAAAATTCAAGCGAAATTTTGAATGTTGAGACAAATGCGGGGGGAGGAAAAAATACGCAATGATACTCGTTTTACGGCCTTCTTAAAATCACGACAAACTGACCCTCAGTAAATAGCTTTGATCTCCTAAGTCCAGCACTAAAAACCTCAAGCTTCTATTCCAATCTACTAATCTAAGGATGTATAAAAAGGATTGATAAAAACATTTTGCGCTTTTTATTTAGATTCCGCACAACAACCTCGAACTTTCTGTGTTTTTAATGCAAATTACATTTAGTTAGGCGGTAAATATAAACTGTAATGAAAGACCGTTATTTGCTTCAATTTTTATTGCATTCGGATTTAAAGCAGTAAATTTTTCTTATTTCCGAATTTAAAGTCTAAGAAATTTACTACTAAATGGTGCCGGACGGCTTTGCTAGCTGAAGTGTTTTATTGTTTGTGCAAAATACTCGACTGTTTATTATGCAAGCTTAATTTAATATTTTACCAAAATAGAATTTCAAAACAGCAATTCCGTTTTTTTTACTCAGTTCGAGTTCGGATAAAATCTTGTTAGAAGTATATACAAATATATCCGATATTCTTACATCACTTAATTGATTTAACGTAGGAAAAATAACCAAAACACATGTGCATATACCACGACGAAATCGACCGATCTTACTGAAAGTGACTTTATATTTTAAGGCTTAAGGCAGCAAGTGATATTATAACTTTTAAAACATTTTGCACTTTTATTATTTAATATATTCTACATAGCAACCTCTAACTTGCTTTCTGTTAATTTATAAAGCCTGACATGACACATTAAGACCTAAAAATAATTATAACTATAATCTAGTATTTACCTGAATTGACGGGGGACTTCTAGAATGTCATTATTAATTATTCTTTCGGATTTTTTTTAGCGTATAAGACCTGTTGCCCCTATGGCCATGATGAAAAATCAAGGGTGGGTAGTAAAGAAGTAGTTGTAGTTCATTACTGTAGCGAACTACAATTTTCAAATAGCCAGTAGTTTTTACTATACTTTCTGTAAAGATTGTAGCTCTCGAAACGCCACATTCCGCAAAAAGCTCTGAAAACTCTAAAAAGCATATGCCATGCCTTCTGATTGAATCTTAAATTTAGACTTTTAAGTCATTAATGTGTTGTTAACTAATTAATTCGTCACATGCTTAAAAGCACGTAAAGATCTGATGTCGATTTCATCGGTAAAATAGGCCTACAAAGCTTGCATAATAAACAGTCAAGTACTTTGCACAAACAATAAAACAGTTCAGTTAGCAAAGCCGTCCGGCACCATTTAGTAGTAAATTTCTTGAACTTTAAATTCGAAAATAAGAAAAATTTAATGCTTTAAATCCGAATGCAATAAAAACCAGACACAATACTAAAATGCGGTGCCCGCTGGCCCCACTTACAAATAAAACTTTCGGCGTTTCCGCCTACATGCATGCCAAGTCAAGTAAAGTTATAATTCTCCTGTCGGCCGTCAGTTGGTCCGTACGTTAGGATCAAAATTGCGTTTTAAAGCCTTCGAAATAAAATTTTTTTGCTCAAAATACTATCAAATTGAGGAGAAAAGTGAGACGAATCCACTGGCATACGGCCGAAAACAAGAAAAGCAACAATTCCGAAATTATCAAGCATCAAACGGACTGCACTTTTAATTATAGTTTAATAATTTTGAGCGATTTGTCAACAATACAATTTCGCTTATTAAAACTGCACATTAAAACCTTCAAAATATAATATTTTGGGCTTAAACTACTAACAAAATAAAGAGAAAAGTGAGACTAGCCACTGGTATACGGCCGAAAAAGAGAAAACCTGCAACAATACGAAGTTATCAGGGTCAAATGTATTGCATTTTTAATTAGTTTAATAATTATGAGCGATGTGCGGAACAATACAATTTCGCTTGTCTTTCAAAGGCCATAAATCGCTAGAATAATGTTGTTTAGTAATAGATTTGACATCCGTAAATACAACTTTTCACGCTGATTCGAACGGTAGTATTTTTGTCCTTATTATGGGCGCATAAAACCAGAAATAAAGCCTAGCAAACAGTCGATCATGAGAGTACCGACAACAACCAACAAATTCCGAGCACGTGCAAGGAATTTTTAGTAGGTGATTAAAGCCTGGTTCACATATATGCCTGTGACGTACCGACGACAATGCCGATGGTAGCTTTAAAACGTAAATTATGTGAACATTTGTTCGCCGATTGCCTCCAGTGCCACAGTTACAGTTACATCGGCGGTAGGCCGGGAAAGTTGACTTGAGTTCAACTTTGCCGGTATTTCGGCGGCAAGTAGAGGCATAATGATACAGTCACAGGCATGCCGCAGGCATATTCACAAACCAGGCTTAAAGAAACGTTTTGATGCGAACAAACTAACAAACGGACCGACAAACTAACAAACGGATAAACTAACAAACTCACAGGCAGAATATAATGCGGTGCCCAAGTTTGGGCACCGCAAATGAAGCAAATAACTGTCTTTCATTACAGTTTATATTTACCGCCTAACTAAATGTAATTTGCATTAAAAACACAGAAAGTTCAAGGTTGTTGTGCGGAATCGAAATAAAAAGCGCAAAATGTTTTTATCAATCCTTTTTATACATCCTTAGATTACTAGATTGGAATAGAAGCTTTAGGTTTTTAGTGCTGGACTTAGGAGATCAAAGCTATTTTCTGAGGGTCAGTTTGTCGTGATTTTAAGAAGGCCGTAAAACGAGTATCATTGTGTATTTTTTCCTCTCCCCGCATTTCTCTCAACATTCAAAATTTCGCTTGAATTTTGCTCTTAAATGAATGAACAAGACTGAGAAAAAAGATCATGGTGCAAAGTTCTATATTCCGTGAGCTGTAATATTTTAAATATGTGTAATTTTCAGTCGACGAAAAGTGCAAATTCAGCGAACACGGTCACCTGGAGCTAAAGTGCTGTAAAAAAATTATTTTTATGAAAATTGAAAAACCAAAGTCAGATTCAAAACTCACTGGTATGTGCTATTTCACGGTAAAAGTTTGGGAGAAAACTATTTTCTGATCCGAAATGCAGTGGACCGCTTTTACAGAGACTGCCTCTTAACAACTTGTCAATAACTACATGTATATTAGTGCGCGAATATGCATGCAGTTAATTATTGAAGTAATGAAATTGACAACACAAAAATTCATAATCATGAATAGACCTAAACGTTGCACAACAACAATTTGTCTTTGAAAAAGATGCCCCTATCCTTGCCACAGCCAACGAGCACTTCAGTTTTGTGCAAGGGGGTGCAGTAGACTGCGTTGAAACGGAGATGATGAAAGTCAGATGGCGTTGTTTTCAGTTCTTGCAAATTCCGCAAGATGAACAAGTGAATATCCTGTCATGTCCGCGTTGCTTTGCAGAGTTTATTCGTCATTGAATATTGGAACTGCCTATGTTTATCGGACATACGTTTTAGCAAAAATGCATGCAATTAGCATACTAATCAAATGATTGCAATCAGCATACTAATCAGTGTTCATATGTGCACCATTTTAAAATCTCAAAATTACATATTTTGTTTCTCGTCTACAAGGTTTGTTGACTAATTCACATAAACATAAGTTATTGAACAAATGCTGGAATTTGGAAATGATTTGAAGTGTTGTATGCTCAGAATAAACAGCGGATCACCACTGTGATCCGAAGATATATGAGAGAATATATATTATGTAATATTTTCTTTTGGTTTGAACGGGTCACCGTTACACAATCAGCTCATATTATGTTAGTTTCTTAAAAAAAATGGAAATGTTAACTTTACCATGGTACCACAGTACAAACCTGAGATCTTATGTATTTAATGTGTGGCCAACGTACTATCTTGAGTTGTTTTGGCACTTGTTTTAGACAGTGACCCGTTCCGGTGATGCGTTAATTATTCAGAATCGTGCATTTCGGGGTGGGTTGATGGGCTGTCTGACAGTTATACTTTATACTTCACACACAGTCACAGAGATGGTATAGACAGCGCATTAATAATAATAATAATAATAATAACAGTCTTTATTCATACTCAAGAACACCCGTCTGTGAGTTTACATTATAAAAATATATAAGATAAAATTATTGATATCTATAAGGTAATAACTAGATATATACAGTTATGGATAAAAATATTAATAATGTTAAAAAGGTAAAGATTAAAATTGGTTAAACAAAGTTATTAAACAAACATCGATTTACAAAAGAACTTTTAAATCGCTCTGTTCTCACTAATGGAAGTTCAAACTCGTGTCCCCTTGGCCTAAGGTGTCTATTTAATTTATCTGGTAAAAGCTCCTGTAGTGCATTATCTTTATTATGTATTACTTTATCCCAAAGTTTCTTGTCCCTTTTGATGCTTATCTCCTTAATATTCAATTTTTCCGATATGTAACCATTTCTGTGAGCGCAATTGATGAATTTGTCTATTTGACTAATGTATTTATTGAAGTATGCGCCTCCCCAAAGTTCTATGCCGTAAGTGATTATAGGCATAATTAAAGTGTTAAACAGCATGTCCAGTTGTTTGATTGGGAAGCCATAGTATTTACAGACACGCATTATGTACATTCTTGCACTGGCTTTTTTCAACATTTCATCAAAATGCAAATCCCACTTGGAAGGGAAATCCTGTAATGTAATTCCTAAAATCTTTAACCACGTCCTTCGTTTAATAAATGGAAAAGGATCAGGCAACAGCGTAGGGATATTTCTCCTAACAATCATTTCATACGTCTTTTCCATATTTAAGGACATTCGATTATTTTCAGACCATGTTTGTATACTGTCCACTTCGGCTTGGGATGTATCTCCGTTTTCATTCCCTGGTACTTCTAATGTCATGTCATCCGCGAACTTAACTAACTGGTTTATGGGGTTAACTGTTTTGATGTCATTCACCATGATCGAAAAGAGGACAGGACCCAGAACTGTTCCTTGGGGAACACCTCGATTAATGTTCAAGTATTCAGTTTCTATTCCATCAACCACTACCCTCTGTTTCCTCGCCAAAAAACTAATCAGCCAATTTGTAACATATGGGTTGATGGGGAGCTTCTTAAGAGGCTGTCTCCGTAAAAACCTCCAGGTCAGTATGGGGCTCAAAAATAGATTTCTCTCATACTCTAGTATTTTGAAGATCTATCCTTGGGAACAACTAAAATCGATGTCATTTTACTCAAATTTCCTTTAAATTATTTTTGGGGGCGATTGATGTTCGATCGACTGGTAACCAACTTGATACTCCGAATGAAGGCCAAATATCGACATATATTCAGCGCTATTTTTTAAATCAAATTCATACCTAAATTTCAAAATTTTTGCTCAGAAATATAGACTTATCCTTCTATTTTCGCAGGTGATATGACTTAGATCATTATTCTTTGGTATAGAATAGAAAACAGCGCAGTTATTGACCCTCCTGAACGGATAAAGGATATCGTCTCAAAATATGCCAACTTCGAAAGCTTATTTCAAAATCGTGGCACTTGATTGGCACATGACTTTAACTTTTCTATAAACTACTAACATTAGTCAACACAAATCGCCAATAATATCTTTCTGCCCTACCATTTGACAAAAATGACAAGCGCGCAAACTTTGTAAAATTTGAAAATGTGTCGAAATCGAGCATACTTTATCGGTAAACATAATTCTTGATATTAACAAATAAAACCACCTTACACTACACTGAATGAAGCTTGATTATGTAAATATATGTCTTTCATCATTATTCTTTGGTTTTGCACTCGAATGAAATTGTTTGACTGTACAGTTTGGGTTCAAGGATAGTCATTCAATGCCAGTGTGTCCAGTGTGTTCAAATTCTGCGCGCCTCAATGCCATGACGGCATCAGTCCTGATTGTGACATACGAACTTCGCTCTGCTCGCTTTGTTTACCTCCTGTAAATAAAATGTCTCAAACAAATTAGAAAATTCAGAATTAGTCATACTACAGACATAACTTTCATTGGTTTGTTTACCTTAAACTGTTATATAAAGTTTCGTTTTATAGTGATGTACGAATTAATCTCGGGGAAAACTCCTAACCGAAAGAAATGTACTCGCTGAGCGTAAACATGTCAATCAAATGACAATGAAATGTTTCGTTGCTCTCTGATTTCCTTTTCTTTGTATTGAATTAAATAGTAGTCTTAGACAGTATTGCACGAGGTTTTTGTGTTTACAATAATGGTGTTCTACTTCTACTACAGCCGCAATTTGTGATCATGCAACGTTAAGGCCCTGTCACACTATTGCGTATGAGAGAAACGTATGAGAACCGTACATCTGTCGTACCTCTAGCGTATTCAGCGTGTGCCTAAAGTATGCTTATCTTATAAAGCATACGTCCAATACGCACAAAATTTTTGAACATGCTTAAAAAAAAATTTCTGCCTCGGCGTATGCCAGCGTATGCAACCGTGCTTGAAACGTATATAACCTATGCCTAGCGTACCCCTAGCGTATGCCAGCGTATACCGGCGTATGAGTGATATTTTTCATACGCTGGCATACGCTAGTACGATACGCAATAGTGTGACAGGGCCTTTAGGTAAACCGAAAGGCCCTGTCACACTAATGCGTATGAGAGAAACGTATGAGAAGCGTATGAAAATCAATGAAATAATTTTCATACGCACAAATTCACAAAAATCCTTTGCAATGCCAGCGTATGAGTACCGTACATCTGGCGTACCTCTAGCGTATTGAGCGTGTGCCTAGAGTATGCTTATCGTATAAAGCATACGTCCGATACGCACAAAATTTTTGAACATGCTTAAAAAAAATTTCTGCCTCGTCGAATGCCACCGTGCTTGAAACGTATACAACCTATGCCTAGCGTACCCCTAGCATATGTCAGCGTATACCGGCGTATGAGTGATATTTAAAGTGATATTTAGATATTTAGAGTAGAACCGTGACTTACTTGAATTCTAGTTTCATTGATAATTGTTTCTAAACCTAGAGACAATTCAGTTGCTAGAAAACTATACTGAGCGAAACTAACGAAATATTGACATTTGACACATTGCCCGGGGTTTTCCCCGAGATTTAATTCGTACATTCTAACGAAACTTTTATAAAACAGTTTAAAAACGATGAAAATTCTGTCTGTAGTATGACTAATTTTGAGTTTTCCAATTTCATTGAATATTGTTATTTGCTAAACATGTATTTGTTAAAGAGGTAAACAAAGCGAACAGGGCGAAGATTGTATAGTATGTCACAATCAGGACTCGTGGCATTGAGGCGCGCAGAAGACACTGGACACACTGGCATTGAATGACTCTATCTGTGAAGCCAAACTGTACTCAAACAATTTGATTCAAGCGCCAAACCAAAGAATAATGATGAAAGACATGTATTTACATAATGAAGCTTCATTCAGTGTAGTGTAAGGTGATTTTATCTGTTAATATCAATAATTATGTTTACCAATAAAGTATGCTCGATTTCGACACATTTTCAAATTTTACAAAGTTTGCGCGCTTGTCATTTTTGTCAAATGGTAGAGCAGAAAGATATTATTGGCGATTTGTGTTGACTAATGTTAGTAGTTTATAGAAAAGTTAAAGTCATGTGCCAATCAAGTGCCACGATTTTGAAATAAGCTTTCGAAGTTGACATATTTTGAGACGATATCCTTTATCCGTTCGGGAGGGTCAATAACTGCGCTGTTTTCTATTTTATACCAAAGAATAATGATCTAAGTTGTATCACCGACGAAAATAGAAGGATAAGTCTATATTTCTGAGCAAAAATTTTGAAATTTAGGTATGAATTTGATTTGAAAAATAGCGCTGAAAATATGTCGATATTTGGCCTTCATTCGGAGTATCAAGTTGGTTACCAGTCGATCGAACATCAATCGCCCCCAAAAATAATTTAAAGGAAATTTGAGTAAAATGACATCGATTTTAGTTGTTCCCAAGGATAGATCTTCAAAATACTAGAGTATGAGAGAAATCTATTTTTGAGCCCCATATTGACCTGGAGGTTTTTACGGAGACAGCCTCTTAAGCTTCTCACATAAAATATCGTGTGGAACGCTATCGAATGCTTTGCGAAAGTCAAAAGATAATACTCTGACATATTTTGCATCTTCTTCTAACCATCTTAACCATGTGTGTTGGCACTTGATCAGAGCCATAATCGAATTGTGACCTTCCTTGTATGCAAACTGATCTGAATCAATAGCGTGTCTTGTAACATGTGCTATCTCAGTTTTGAACACACTTCTTTCAAATAATCTCATTATAATATCTGTTAAAGAGAGTGGTCTTAGTTGATTAAGAGAGTTTAAGATAGATTCTTTAGGTACTGGTAGTACATTTGCATGTTTCCACATTTTAGGAACTTTGCTAAGTTTCAATGAAGTGTTAAATATATTTGTTATGGTAGGGGCAAGCTCAAATGCAAATTCCTTCCAAAACCAGTAAGGTAGATCATCTGGCCCGGATGCTGTTCGTTTTAGATTTTGTAAAAGGTGTAGAGTAGTATTTATAGAGAGCGAAGGAACCCTGGTGCCATCAGGGATCTCGACAGGTTCTGGAGCCGCGTACTGAGGATCCGAGTTTATACTTTGAAAGTATACATTTATCTCACTAGGATCAAAGGCTGCACTGACAGATCGACTCCGATTATTTCTTCCTGTAATACTGTTCACATTGGACCACCACTGTTTTGATCCAGTTTTCTGATTTTTGTTCTCTTGTTTGACGGCATTTAACTGGTTCTCTCGAATTAGCTTGTTTATCTGGTCTTGTAAACGAGCGTGAGATTCGGAATAGCTCTTCTGTATAGCTCTTTTCCTTTGCTTTAGCAAATGCTTTACAAGGGGTGACATAAACGGTGGGTCATGTGAAGAGGTTCAAACCTTAATTAGTGGGAAGCACTTTTCAAATATCGGCCACATCGTTTCATAAAATTTCAGCGTCATTTCATCTGGAGTTTGGTTATCATATTCCAGTCTACAGTTCCTAATTCATATAACATATTTATTTTCTTATGTTGTTTTACATCTCTAAAATAGGAATTTTTTCTTTCTGCTTTAATTACATCTCGGGGATAGGTTATTACCATATCATGATCAGATTTTACTAAGCTTTTCACTACTTTAACTTTTTTCCAATCGTGAGGAGCGTTCGTAATGAAGACATCAAGTATGTTTTGACCCCTTGTAGGAACTTTAACAAGTTGGATGAGCGACAGCTGATTGAGCAGATTTCGAATATTTAATTTATTGATATCACCCGCAATGATTATTCTGGAGTTTGGTTTAACAGACAGTATTTGTTCGCATGTGTCTATCAAATATTCAATTAGGTCATTCTCATTATAATCGTGATCAGGAGGGTGGTATATAGTTCCAACATAGACATTCGAGTTTTGTGTGTCAATTTTTGTCCATAGACATTCAAACAAATTGTCCGAGTTTGGCATTATCTGCATTTTCCAATCATTTCTACAAATAGTCGCCACACCGCCCCCTCGACAGTTTGTTCTGTCTTTTCTTATGATAGAAAAGCCAGCGGGACAGACAAGATGATCAGGTATAATTGGTTTCAGCCATGTTTCAGAGATACAGCATATGTCAATGTCATTACACTTCAGATCCGCATACAAAGCGGGAAGGGCATCAGGTTTTACTAGGGATCTAGCGTTTAACACTAGACAACGCGGAATTATACGTGGTAAATTTAAAGCTGTTTTATCGATTTGTACAAATTTCAGAACACGATCACGCTGATGAGGTATCATACGAGCATGTTTTTTTCGTCTTGTAATTCTCACAGGAATTTTATTACTACGACAAGCTGACTGAGACATACAATTGGAACCATTTAAGTTCGTGTTAGCCGCATTAATTATGTTCTCGTAATTTTGCTGACTAGGTCTAGGTAATTCTCCCAGTCCGGAGGTCGATCTAGAGACAGTTTCTTCCGAAAATTCCGCTTCGGTTTAGTTTGTTTACTTTTGAAGTTTTTGCGACTACGGACTGTATTCCTTGATAAATGCTGGTTTCTCTTGTTTGTATTGAAAGTATTTAATTCTGTTGTTTGGGGGTTTGTAGGGACAGGTTTCATCCAATTGTGTGATCTATTGGGAAACGCAAGAGACTGTTTCTCTCGGTATTTCTTTAGCTGTTTCTTGAACGATGAGGATGTATTCAGCGAACTATCCGTCTGGTCAATGGCTATGTTAACCCCATCAGCTACAGTGAAATTTTCAAAGCCTGACAGAAAGTCGTCTGACTGGCTCCCAAGGGTGTTATCAATACAGTGAGCCTCTGGTGTTATGCTGGCTTCATCAATTGTAGTGAAATTTTTAATGCATAACGGAAGGTCATCTGGCTGATCGTCCGAATTAAATACACCAGAGAAACTTGAGCTCCCAAGGGGATTATCAATGCTATGGACTATTGATGTTATGCTTGTTTCATCAATTATAGCATGATTTTTCATTTGCATAATCAATTGTCTCAAAGATTCATTCATCGCCTCACTTGACTTAAGTCTATTTTCAAGAGAGACAATGGTGTTATTTAATTCGTTTACTTCTTTATTTCTTCCTCGGATTAAAATTGATATATCAGCTTCAAGGTTTTTACATTTTTCCCTTTCATTAGATAGTTCCTTTTGAAGTTGGTTAATTTCTTCGCTCTCCCACGACTTTTCGATTGCAAAAATCTTAGTTAATATTTCATAATATTTCATGCACAAATAGTTATTAAGTATATATATATACATATATATATATATATATATATATATATATATATATATATATATATATATATAAATAAATTTGGTAGTTAATCGGCATGTTTATACCCCTTTGGTTTGTTTATCAAATACACAGCCATATCAATATAGACGAATATTATTTTTTAATTACCAATCCGTATATAATTCATATTATATTGTACGCGTTTTATTGTCAAGATATACATTGTCGATATAATTATATATATACAACGTGAAGGTACTTGACAGTTTGATAGTTCTAATATCTTAAACGCTGTCCTTTGTCCAGCATCATAACTTTCCACACCTACAGTACTTGACATATATAGTATATGTGCAGATTTATTGTTGAAATACAATCTCTTGCAAAATAAAACGTGCCATCATGATTTTGAAAGGCTTATCCCCCTTTTCCCTATCCAATGTTGCGATTGAAGTCGAAATTGAAAAGAAAGGCCTGAAACGGTGCTAACAATCACTAACCAACATTGACAAGGGTGCGGGAGCATGGAGTGTCTCGTTTATTTTGCATAAGATTGTAGCTGTTTGAACTTCGAAACCTGCAATCGAGCTAAAGTGTCAGCTAAAACAAAGCGTCAGCTAAAACAAAGCGTCAGCTAAAACAAAGCGTCAGCTAAAACACCCGGTACATGGTGAGCGCGGAATAAAATGTTAAATTTCAAACAAGCCAGCACCAGTCGGCGAACAAATATCATAACAGTCACATTGCGTGAAGTGGCTTTATTTATAATATCGACCAATGCCGCATTATCCAAAAAAAGGTGATACGCTGGTTTCGCATCTTATCTCCCCATACGAGTACGCTGAGTACAATTGGGTAAAATTCCAAAATCGCGATGTTTAATTGCCTCCAATTGGGGGGCCACACACCGAAAAACCACTCATCGCCGAATACAGCACCATAGCCCAAACTACCGGCAGCATCGGTATATAGGTTTAAACTGAAGGAATCATTCCAAACATCACTGAGAAAAAAACGATCGGCCATTAAATTGTCCAAAAAGGACTGCCAGATGACCAGATTGGCCTTAACCGATTTAGTTAGACGAATAAAGTGGTGCGGGAACCTGATGCCTTTAGTCAAATCAATAAGATGGCGCAAGAAGCCCGACCAGGGACAACTACTGAGCAACCAAAATTAAGTAAACCAGTTAACGATTGTATTTCGCGCAAAGTAACTTTTTTGCGACACAGAAAGCCAGATATTAGAGACTTGCATTTATCGGTTTGTCGTCTGGTAAACAGGCTTCCATGCGCAAAGTGTCTAATTCAATGCCAGCAAAGTCGAGAATAGTTTGTGGGCCAACAGTTTTGTCCAGTGCAATTGGTATGCCTAAATATTTACAAAGAGATAAGAAGCAGACAAGGTCAATGCGACATTGGTGATAAGTAGGTGACGCCATTAGATAATCATCAAGAATGTGGATTAGATGTGGGATTTGCAAGTGTTTCTTAGCAACCCATTCGATAGCAGTGCTAAACATCTCGAAAGTGCGACAAGATGACGCACAGCCAAAGGGCATAACACGATCATAGTAATACTTCCCTTGCCAAAACATTCCTACGAGATCATAATCGGATGGCCTTAACAGGATAATACGAAATGCGCTCTTGATATCCGTTTTTGCTAGGAAACAGCCGCGGCCTAATTGTTTGATCATTTTGACGGCATCATCAACACAAGCATAATGTACAGTCGAATGCTCGTGAGCAATGCCGTCATTAACAGATTCACCACTTGGAAAAGACAAATGGTGGATTAAGTGATATTCTCCAGGGGCTTTTTTAGGCACCAACCCCAAGGGGGAAGCGCGAAAATTAGGAAAGGGTAGTCTGTTGAAAGGCCCAGCCAGGCGATCGACCACCAATTCTTTCGAGAGTCTACCACTAACAATCTCAGAGTTCCGTTGCGCAGAAGCGAGATTAGGACCAAAAATTGATATACGAGATCCTTCAAAATGAAGGGGAAAACCAAACTTAAAACCATTATATAAATTTAACGCCAATCACACATCGTATCCACATAATAACGGGTAGAGATTGTCAATTAGAACTGGTGTTGGCGGTATGGGACTTGGTGGCACTTGGGGCTGAGCCAGAGGAGGGCTTTTGGCCACGAAAATTACAATGAATAGCCGGGTGAACACCACCACATTTAAAGCAGTTGTGTTTGTAGTTACACCCTAAACACTCAGCACCCCGGTGGAACTTGCAACAAAACCCCCTAGGAACAAAGGGTCCAGCGACCGACAAGGACAAATTGTTTGAACTTGTGCATATATTTGATTGGGGTTTGCTCAAACGTGCATGACCGAAAGTTTGTGCATGGATGCAAAGTTCCCAGTGAGTATAACCCCAAGGTAGTTCAGCCGGATGGCTTTGCCGCAACAGATGAAATTGCGTGTCATACAAACACCAATCAGCCTCTCGTGTGGCCAAATCCCGCACTACCTCCCCGTATTTCATTAGTATTGGGGCCTCCAAGGGAAATTTTGCAGTGTAGACTCCAACGAAAATTTGAAAAGCCGAAGTCCATGCCTCAATATTGGGAATGGCCTTCGGCTTGTGTGACGGTTCTAAAGATAAAGCAGGGAGTGAGGAACCTTCTTGAGAGCTCACAGACAAGTGATACCGGGTATCACCTGCCCCTGAGCTCAGTAAAACACCAAAATCTATAAATTCGTGGGCCCATATTTGTGCTTTAACTTTAGCGCTAACATTACCACCGATGGGCACGCTAATTGAGCAAAATTTGGCGGATCCCCCGACCCTGCTGACGGTGAGACCTTAATAAATTCGGTCTCACCTGTTATGTGATGCAAAGCAGATGCAACCGGCCCATGCATAGTGGTAGCATCTGCTAAATTAAGAGTATTATCAGACCCTACAACTAGAGGTACTTCTCTCTGTTCTGGTTCCATGGACGGAGGTGCCAGGAGAGTTGGTTGACTTGCCCCAAACAACGCGATGACGGCCTGTGACACAGCCGAGACAATTCTCTGCATCGCTTCCTCCGAGAGATCAGGTGGTGTGATGTTCGACGACGCTTATGGTGTAGCAGGCGATGTTTCGACCCTGGTTGCAGTTGTAGATGTTGCTGTTGTCTGCCGCTGCCGCGAAAAGGCACTAGGTGCTGCTGCTACTTGAGCTGAGCGCTGGACATGTGTACTTAGGCGAGTTGCGGGCATTCTAAAAGGAAAATGTCAGAACGCAGACAGGCAGAATTGGGTTTGGCCAGAGTTTGCTGGTTGCATCTGGTGAAGGGATTTGTGATATAGTTGTATATTTCTATAGCTATAAATGTATACGCAGTAACATGAAAACGTGAACAAACAACGCAGTGGAATAATCATGGCATACAGCAAGGTAGCCGCAAAAGATCATCCTTAACAATTGCTGCAATATCTACCACATTAAACATTGACAAACAAACAACGCAGCAGAATAATCATGGCATACAGCGAAGGTAGCCGCAATAGATCATCTGTTTAAAGCGCTGCAAAATAATATAAAAACAGGCAATCTGAAAACAACATGCTGCACCATCCCACAATATATTGATTTCAACTGTGGGCATCTGAACAATAAATTTCACTATCCCACTTAGACATGCATTTTTCCAAACACAGGATCAGCCCGTCATATATACCTAACATTAAATATCAGCACGGCACAAAGCAAGTACGAGGACATATACATACATGTACGTTAGCTGAACAAAAGACGAAACAGACTACTATAGGGAAGCAAATTCTATATACGTATATATAACCAGCTTGATAAGTACTATTTACAACATGAGCGGCCGTGTTGTATTGGATATACAAACTCGAGCCTTAAAAAATGACTCATCTTATGAGTTCATTGGAGAAGTAATTTTAAAAATAAACGTTGTCTAAGCCAAGAAAATCAAAGTTAAAGTTTATGTAAATCAACATGAATCTGTATCACATATACAGATACGACACGCTTATGATTTTTCTTTGTGTTTTCTTCATGAATTATTAATGATTTTTTTAATCATGAGTATGCCCTGTGCAGGAAAAACCCAATGTTGAAATCTCAACATGGGCATCTGAAAACAGTCATGTCACTCTAGCCCATAATAATATAACAAATATAAGCATAATATATGTCAACACCAAGTACTGAGAGGATATATACTGCATAATCAAAGAGTGTGATAAGAGAGGCCCTCCACCAATTAGGGCATTGTCAATACAAAAAGCAAAATTGAACAGAAACAACAGTACAAAACGGGGTTCACAGGTTACAAAAGTTTGAGAGCTTTCAAGATAGCCGCAACGATAACTCCAATACAAAAGTACTGTCCTTGGGCATTACAATGCACGCCATCGGAGGATAGCAATGCACGATCGGTTCGATAAAAATTCCCAATGATCCCGAGTAAAAATCCCATTTTCCTCAGCAAGGACCACAGACAAATATTGCCGCAAAATAGCAGCCTTGGCATTAAAACCAAGGTCGGGTCCTTGAGCAAAAGGAACATTGTGGTTTATAGCCTGGCACACCCCAACAACCGGAACGTTGTATGTGTGCCTTAAAGCATGCACAAGGTCGTCGATTTTAGACCCCACCACCTTGGGGGTGTGGGTCGACAAATCGTTAGTCCCAAGCTCCAAGATTACAATATCGGGCTTATACTTATGCACCAATTGCAACCCGTCCCTAACAAAATAATATAGCCCGAATCTGGGAGATGAAAATTAGAAGCCGCACGTGTATCAAAGTGCGCATCTAAATCATCTTGCAAACAACGGACAAAAGAATGACCGAGAATTAAAATACTTGGGACACAACTTGACATGATAAGAATATCAGAGAAGGAAAAATTAATAGGAATAACTTCTCTATTATTTATATCAATTGACTTCAGCCAGAGAGTTGACCTTGTGTGACCAGATTGAAGAGTAGAATGAACTGATGCACATACTGCTGCAGATTATATCACCACTCCTATCCGCTTCCTGCGCATTACATTCATACAAATTATTGGGGCTAATACCCACGTGTCCCATTACAATAGCTCCCTATCTCTAAAACTAGATGCAGGAAGCAATAAAATCTTTATTGGTATGCCAATAATTCCTTTAAAAAATCGTATCTGCTCACTTGTGTTCCGTGTTCATCTTTCGTGTGATTTCCAACTTCTATTTTTAATAAAGTTTGGAGAAATCGTCATCTTTTTGGCTGAAAATCTCGCGCATGGTTCACAGAAGAACTTGGCCCCAAAACATCAATACATTCGCTTTCCTTTCATGCCAAATTTGCATTGTAGATGATTAAAAAACTCTTCTTTTCTTGCTTTTAAAACTTGTTGTAAAATCCTTCTTTGTAACAGTATTGCCATTATTCATTAATTTGAAAAACTAAGGTTTTATTTAAACTTGAAAAACTTTGCAAGTTGCTGACCGATTTTCTTGCATGATACACCATTGAAAAGCTCGAATTTCACGTTCTATTTTCGTATCTGTTGCTAGGCAACCCGATAAACACGTGCTCAAATATCATGCCCGCAAGTTAAGGTGTCATGTCAGGGTGCATTGTCCGTTACCCACTTGTCAATCTCAGGGTGCATTGGGCGTTAATGAGTTAAACAATAGTTTTATGTTTTTTCTGTGTTGGTGTAATGTACTCAGGTGAATATGATGCTTGTGATGTTACTCTGAGTGTATATCCACACCTGTAATCTAATAATCATGATTTTTTTCTTGCCTGGTGTGGATATACACTCAGAGTAACATCACAAGCAAAAATAGTTTTACAGGTTTATATAACTTAGTGTTGATGTACTTTATGTGTGAGTCCTCACAATAAGCTGTTTGTGCATTTAGGGCAAACAGTGAATGTCATATTTAAGTGAGAAATGATAAATTTAAGGAGGGAGCCATGGCTTGATTGTGCATTTGTATTACACAATGTACACTTGTCACCTCTGACCTAATGGCATTACATGTTTTGTCATGTCTCTTAACTCCTTAAGTGGCAAGCTGTCACAATGTCGCCCCCCCCCCCCAAGCAATATGGCAAATACAATATCACAGAAACAGTGGCATAAAAAAATCTGATCGTTTCAACCAAACATGACTGATATATCATTGACCAAATTTAATTTAAATGATGTTGCATACCTATATATATGATTAGTTTTTTCAGTGAGAATTTTTATTTGTAAAGCAGTGACACTTTGTTTTTCATGACACCCATTACCTAAAGGGGCAACATCATAAATTTATATAAATAAAAAAAAATCATTTACTAAATTAGTACATATCTGTATTACAAACAATTTTCATCTTTGGGATATGAATTATTTGCTTTTTTGGGGCATCTTGTTTACAACATAAAATTTAGAACAGTAACTAACTGTTCAAATTCAACAAACTCTGCAATCCAACACACAGTGTTTGTACAACTTTAAAGTTTTATAATTACTTCAAATATATTTAAAAGGACATATAGTACTAGAATTTATTTATTTTAATATAAACCAAGGATGGGAAGGTGAGAAAATAGGAATTTCTGCGGAAGGCAAATTGTGGTGACAAAACCAAAAGCTATTCACTTCTCTACTCAAAGCACTGAAAAGCACCATAAAGAGATAAACATTTTAAACAGAGTTTTAGCTCAATTTTCTCGTGTTTTTGTTGGGAAAGCAACACTTTTTAGGCAAAATTATTTTGCATGCCAATGCTGCTATAAAATGTCAGGAATGCATTTTTGTTCTGCTGGCTCTAAAAAAACATTTTTTTTTTTTAGTTTGAAATAGGCCTTCATAAGGACTAATTGTGTAGAAATATTATCTGCATGATCAAATTAAAAAGATAACCTAATATTCAGGTATTCCACATAGCTATAAAAGGGTGAAATAAGGACTTTCATCTTTGGTTGTTTGTGAGGCGTGAGAAACCACATTAGTGCCATTTTGTAGTGTGTGTTATTTTATAAAATAAAGCCCTCGTAACCATAAACTTTTAGTTGAGAAAATTGCAAAGTTCCATAGACATTAAAAGTGTTCTAGTGACACGATGAAAAAAAACTGGGCCCAAAAAAACCTGGTAAATTATGTTTTTGTTAGGACTTCAATTTTATGGCTTCCACCGAAGGAAGCCCTTTCAGAGAGAAGTGACATTTTGTAAACAACCATCACAACCTTTTCGAGAATGTGAGATAACCGCATTGGAAGATTTGTTTAAGAATCGTCTACTAACAATTCAGCCACAACGAGAAGTTAAAAAAACTAAAATATAAAGACATGAAAATAGGTATTTAACTAGCCTCCTCTGCAGGCAACTCTTGTTTCCCACTCACAAACTCACAAATATATACCAACCTTTCAACCAGAAGAGGCAATGTTTTTGTTGAATTTGGAATTTGTATGACCAAATGGTTGAAAGGTCTGTATATATTTGGGATTTTGTATGTGGGAAACAAGAGTTGCCTGCGGAGGAGGCTAGTATTTAACATGCAATGTGCAGAGTTATATTCATTCGAAATTTCCAATTGAAGGTGAGGGTATAATAAATGTCCATAGCAGTAGGTGATGTTATCGTATTTCTTTTTTAAGAGAACCCAGAACATAACAGGAAGTGGAAAGCGTTCATGATGTGAATTTTTCCTAAACAATGTGAATGTTTCCGCTAACAAGTTACGAATGACAGGCTCCTAAGCACAGTACCTTGCAATTGTAGAGGTAACCCATAATAAGGCACAATGCTAACTAGCATGCCCCACACGACTGTTAGTGTGCTGCTTTACATCCATTGCATGTTTTGGAAAAAAGCGGACAAATTTTTTCATTTAAGTTAATACAGTTTTACATTACAGTGTGTCTACAGTGAGTGGGGCTACTTAGAGATCTAGAACACCAATCACATTTTAGAACAAAAATAGAAATCTAATCAAATCAAATCACAGCTCACAAATCAAAAGAAAACATGGATATTTTGTTAACGTAGTTGTTATTTGTCCGGTCACGGAAACGAACAAGCTTTGGCTATTTGTCCGTGAATTAATATGATTTGTTCATGGGAATGACGTAACACAAGCACTTGAAAATTGGAAAATGTAGATTTGGCGCGCAATATTCAATATGGCGACACTCGAGGAGGCTGTTTTGAAAGTTGGCGACACTTTCAAGTCTTTTGAAGACCTAAAGCGAGCCATCGAAGCTTATGAAATGAAAAATTATATTAACTACTACAAGAGAGACTCGTAAACAATGGCCATTGCCCAGAAACGAGTCAAAATTGACAATCCAAACCCTGATCTTGTATACTATGAGGAAAGGATTATAAAAGCAAAGTTACCAGTCAAAGACCCAACCAAAGGTGAATTCATTTACTTTTTTCAGGTGGATTTATTTGCTCTAGTTTCGCGTATAATAACCGACGTTTTCGTGTCTAGTTCGTTTAGAGAGAATTGTGGTTCTTTTATTCAAATTTGTGCATCTAAGGACGGCTGGACGGGCAAAGCCTGGTGGTGGTAAAAATAGAAGCATACCACAACCATCCAATTAACAAGGTATCTACTGCATTAAATAGTAAATTAAATCTCATTAATGAATGCACTTGTCATCAGAACAACCCCCCCCCCACACACACACACACACACAAAAAACATAGGCATAGGTGGTAAGGGGGTGGATAATGGGGCTATAGACATTTTATTATGCCCCATGGGGTGGAGGCTTGTGCAATTTTCGTCAACCTCAAGTATTGGGATCATGCTATCTTTGCAGCATATCTGTGAGCAGATATTTCTATATTGCTTTCCTAAGCAAAAATTTGAATATGGAAATACAAATTACTTTGCTTTGGTCCACTTTAAATATATACAATCTCTGCACTTGCACAATAGACAGATTCAGAAAACACAGTGCGTTTCACTTGGCCCTATGGGTGGGGCATTTTCTTTCATTATAAGTTTCTAAAAAGTCTATGTCCCATGTTTCCCCAGGGTGGGGGGATGGGGGTTTCTGTTGACAAGTGCATGATTATTGATCTTTATTATTTATTATATAATTAATCTTATTAAATCATCATTTTATATGCTGTATAAATATGTAAATTCATGCCGGGGGCAAAGGGCTGTCAAATATTAAACAATTTGTTTGTGAACAAATAACATTGACCCTCATAGTCATACTTCAGAAGGGCTAACTAAACAATTTTTGGCTGCGAGACCCTAAGATTTTTAACCTTGGCTGATATCCAAGACTGTGGTATGTTGCATCTTGGCACCCTCATGCACCCCACTTTTGCAGCTTAAGCCGTCTAATGCCATACTATTTTTTGCCTGAATGAGTTAAAATTTATTTATATTGTTCATTCTGTTTTTAGGAAGCTTTTCAATTCCTACCAAAGCAACGTAGACTTGATCAACAGGAGTTGGAGGAAGTCAAAACGATATTAAGCACAAGGCCAAACAAGAAAATCCTTCAAGACCATATCCGCCAAGACTGGAAAGTTGGTGACACTTAGAGATATTGCAAATCAAGATGTAAAAATAAAATCTACTAGAACCAACTTAGAAGAGATTTTTGGTGACATATCAGGGACAGGTAACACAATATCAAATCATCATTAAAGTGCAAAGCGATCAGGCCTGGGAAATAGTCAGAGCTGTCGCTAGGGGGGGGGGGTGACACTGCCTGAAAATTGTTTGTGCAAATGAAGGATTTTGTTGGCAAATAGAGAATTGTAAATGGAAAATTTCTGGTAGGTAGTTAATGAAATGAAGGTTCATTTATCGTAAACCTGCAAAAAACCTGGTTCATTTATCGTAAACCTCCCCAAAAAATACAAATGTACATAGCATTGTGCGTTTAAGGGTCTTTTCTTTGGGGGGCGGAGGTGATGGTAGCTGAAAATTTTGTAGACGATTGGGGGGGGGGGGGGGGGGGTAACCAATTTTTCCGGAAAATTTTTTTGCGGAACTTTTGGCAAATGTACACCCCCTAACCATGTCTCTTAGCAACGGCCATGGAAATAGCGACCTGCCTGTCAAAAATAATTTGTGTACAAGATAATGAATAATAAAAATAGCATAATGATGGCTGTGACCAGATGCTTATTTCCGGGCTTGTAAGTGACAATAATGTAAAAGTAAATTACTTGTAAATGACTGCAGGTATATTGGAAGCACAGGAAATATTTTTTTGTCTGTGCAAAAGACTTTGACTAGTTAGGATGATGTCCTAACTAGTCAATCTTTGTTACAGATAAAACGATAACAGATGATGATGGGGTACTGAAGTCCATTTATTATCAAGATGGGGATATGAAAGAAAAATTTAGGCATTTTCCTGAGTTAGTTATGGTTGATGTAACATATAAACTCAATAATTTAAGAATGCCAGTGTTCCTGCAGCTTATTGTTGATGGCAATGGTGAAAGTGAAATTGTGTCTGTGTTTGTGGTTGTCAGTGAGAATGCTAACACTATGGCAGAACTTGTTGAAGTTTTCAAAAAGCACAACAGTGCCTGGGAGAAAGTGCGTACCATAATGACAGACAAAGATTTCACAGAAAAAATGGTTTATGGTGAAGCATTCCCAAATGCATGTCTGCAGTTGTGTCTGTTCCATATTTTACGGTCAATCAAAAGACAGGTGAACACAGAGAAGATGAGTATATCATTAGACCAAAAGAATCTCTGTCTAGAAATCATTCAAAAAATTGCATATTCCGCAGGTAATTCACAATTGTGTTAACACAATACATTCAGGAACATTGCATGTTAATGGTAACAGAAAAATATTGGCAAAAATTTTTTTTTTTTAAAGTTAAGGTTATTTACTATTTATCTTTGTAGGTCAAGATGATTATCAAGAAAACATACAGGCACTCTATGACACCAAAGTGCAGCCAGTGATTACATACTTTGTCAACCAGTGTTGGGAACCAATCAAGGATCAGTGGGTTATTGGTCTAAAACAATCATGTAACTACAGCAACAACACTACAAACAGAGTGGAGAGTATCAACCAAAAACTCAAACAGGTATATATATATACAGTGTATATATAATTCAGTCAAGGTTTGAGTGTTTGCCTCGCAACGCAATGATTATTAACTTTACTAACTAAGGAGCTGTTTGTATGGAAGCCAGACAGGCCCGCTTAGCAAGACAGCCTGGTAAGCGGGATGAATTTGTCTTTTGCTGTTTTAACATTGTTTTGACAGTTGTTAAAAATAGCTTGGGCAGCACCTTTAAACTTTCATCCCGGTAAGTGAGATCTAGCCCCTTACTACATAACAAGCATAGCAACTGGGGGGGGGGGGCTACAGCCCCCCAATAATTTGCTAATAATCATTCATTTTTCAAAATCATTCATCAATCTTTCTCATTTAATCCATGAAAAACTGCAAAGAATGAAGATATTACCCATACTTTCCTGCAACCTATCCAATATATAGTTAATTAAATATGTCTTCGCCCATTTAGTACTACTGAATTGTAAATTTCGACATACTAAAATGCTGTTTTTTGACCATCAGAATTCTGTCAAATCTTCCCCAAAGTCCAGGAAATGGCATTTCAGAGACTCTAAATTTGAAGATTTCCTAGGGCCTTTGGCCCTCGCTTTCAGCCTCCCCCCCCAATCGTAAAGAGCTTCCTATGGCCCTGTAATGTAATAAACATATTGCTGTTTGCTAGGTAATTGCACGGTTTTCAAATCTGAAGCAATTTTTTGAGGATCTTCAGCTGATCATTTGGTGCCTGAGACAAGAAAGAAACAGTCGTCTTGCCGATTTAATTCATAAACGACCTTCCATACCATGCAAATTTGATGATGCCAGGAAGTATTGCAGTCTTCTCACACAACACGTTAAAACAGCTTGATCTTGCTCCTAAAGTCCACATTCCAGATGTTACCAATGAGTATGTGACACTACAAACATCATCTGGACAAACCAATACAACTGCCACATCTTGTACATATCAGTTTGTAATTATGAACAAGCTACCATGTCGACATATATTTGCCTTAAGAGCTAAGCTTGGAATGGACAAGTATTTCGAGGGTATGGTAGATCGTTGATGGCGTATAGATTTTTACAGGTAGGTTATTAGGGGTTGGGGTAAGAAGTATTACCATACGAAATTCATTATATGTGAAATCAATAATTTATGTTTTATTAATTATAGGACTACCATAACCAACAATACAAGTGAGCAACTAGCACTTATTGTTGTTAAAAATCCCCGTACAGCAGTTCTGTCTACTTCGCAAAAATACAAGTGTGCTTTTATAGAAGCTCAGAAGCTTGCTACTATGGCCAGTGAGGTATCAATGGAAAGATATAAGCAACGACTTCAGGTGCTGCGCGACCTTGTGGGCATGTGGGAAAAAGATAAAGATGCTTTTGTCATCAACATTGTAGAAGAGGTAACTATTACCCATCTATAAATAGGTTATGATAACAGTACTGTATTATATTTTTATGTATGGTATTAAAAAAATGTGCAGGTACAACAGCAAGATGCATCAAACATGGAGGATACAGAAGTTCAGTCCCTACAAGACTGTCTCCCATCCTCCCAAAAACAAACAGTAGCACAACAGTCAACAGGAGATGAAGTCTCGGAGGTATTAACTACATATTTTCGATGAAACATGTATATGTGTAAACAAACTGATTTCATGTTAAGATGACTAGCATTTACTACAACAGACAGCTGTAACCTGCCCTATCACTGATATGCTATTGATAGTAATAGTGTAATAACTATATTTTCATACAAAACTTGCAGATACGGCAAGAAGACAATGAATCAAATATGCAACAGACAGATGTCAGGCAAGCATGTGAACATCCACCTTCACAAGAACTAGAATCACAACTACCTGTCTCACAGCAGCAGCCACCACAAATTAAAGTATCGGGGGTATGTTTCCAAAATATATTACATGTCTCTATAACCTTTGTTCTGATGTTATACAAAGATCTCTTGTAACAATGCCATTGCATGTCAATTTATTTTTATGCAGAAAAAAGAGTTGGGACTTTGTGATGTAAAGATGCCTGCAAAAATGAAAGTCAGAGGAAGACCAAAAGGCATTGGCCAAACAGCGATAGGGGTTCCAAAGAAGAGGAAAAGCAAAGATGCCAATCTCCCTACACCATATGCCAAAAAATGTCGTGAGGATAAAACCAGATGTAAGCAATTAATCAAGAGTCTCCAGTTTAGACTCTTTATTCTATTCAGTCATGCACTGTACCATACCTTATTATTTCACCCCGTCTAATGTACCTTAATTTGTAAATAGGTTAAATTACAACATGATCGATTTCTTTTTTTAGTAATTCTACATTGGTTTATTGATAACCATACTGCTGAATCTGCCATCAGTAAAGAGCAAATGATAACAGAAAAAGAGCTGAAAGCAATTTGGAATTTTTACGAACACTATTTTTACTTTTTTTATCAACAGACAATCGGACATGCCAAGTCCATTGAAATGACAAATTGACAAATTCAAAAAACTTTTTTCGAAGCTAGAAATCATGATTTTTTTCAAATTTCTCCTGAAATACTTTGTTTTCTGCTGTTTAGACTCCCCCTCACGGCTCTAGTGCTCCACCCCTAGAATATAGACCTTACTGGAGTTTGGTGACACTTTGTGTTGCTTCAGTCACCTGCTCTCGGCTCACCCTCCCCCCCCCCCTAAAATTTCTGGCACCACCCCAGTAATAAATATGAAAATCCGTCTATGCCATTAAGTTTACTTGCAGCCTTTGACCACAAACGGCACCTGCCTCCAAACACTAATACTCCGCCATTAAACATGGTAAGTTACAATCGCCCAGACCAAATGGAAACCTGATTTTAGTGTTATATATAAAAATACTCCTCTTTTAATTATAATTTTCTGCTAATATATATTTTTGGTCGACTTGATATATATCTTGTCATTTCCATATTCTTATTTAATAATTAACACTGAAAGCCTGGGTATCTCCATTTGACGAGTAAAAATGAAAATGGGGCTGGGGGGAGGGTCAAAGAAAAATATTCTAATATGCAGGGGGGTCACCATTAAATTTCTGCTCTGTTAATAGGGGGGGGCTTTCAATTTTAAAAATTTAGGAAAGAAAAAATTCCCCTCCCTTCTTCCATAAATAATGACTGATCCCTAATAGACGCATAAATTTGAATAAAAGAACCACAATTCTCTCTAAACAAACTAGACACGAAAACGTCGGTTATTTATAGGTGAAACTAGAGCAAATAAATCCACCTCAAAAAAGTAAATGAATTCACCTTTGGTTGGGTCTTTGACTGGTAGCTTTGCTTTTATAATCCTTTCCTCCTTTTATACAAGTGAATTTCACCTCATAGTATACAAGATCAGGGTTTGGATTGTTCGCGATCGTTCGCGAGTCTCTTGTAGTAGTAAATATAATTTTTCATTTCATAAGCTTCGATGGCTCGCTTTAGGTCTTCAAAAGCGTAGTTACTAAAACATGGAACGACCCACAACGACCCACTACAACCCCACAACGACCCACTACGACCCCACAACGACCCACTACAACCCCACAATGACCCCACAACGACCCCACAACAACCCACTACAACCCCACAACGACCCCACAACGTCCCACAACAATCCACTATGACCCCACAACGATCCACTACAACCCCACAATGACCCCACAACGACCCACTACGACCCCACAACGAGCCACAACGACCAAAACACCAGCCACAACAATCCACAAGTTCACAACAATCCAACAACAATCTCTGCATGCGCAAGTGGAAGTCTTGCATTTCCCGCCAATTTTGATCACATGTAATAATAAAATACGTGGTGTATCCACAAACAATAACTTATATTGTTTATTGTCATGCAAAATTGCAACTGAAGGTAATTTTGGGATCGTTGTGGGGTCATAGTGGGTCGTTGTGGATCGTTGTGGGGTCGTTGTGGGGTTGTAGTGGGTCGTTGTGGGTCGTAAGGGGGTCGTAGTGGGATCGTAGTGGGGTCGTTGTGGGTCGTAGTGGGGTCGTTGTGGATCATTGTGGGTCGTTGTGGATCGTTCTATGTTTTAGTAACTACGTCTTCAAAAGACTTAAAAGTGTCACCAACTTTCAAAACAGCCTCCTCGAGTGTCGCCATATTGAATATTGTGCGCCAAATCTACATTTTCCAATTTTCAAGCGCTTGCATTACGTCATTCCCATGAACCAATCAAATTAATTCACAGACAAATAGCCAAAGCTTGTTCGTTTCTGTGACCGGACAAATAACAACTACGTTTTGTTAACCCATTAAACACCAGCACTCTCCCTTGATGAGTAAATTAATAAAGTAGGGCACAATGCAATGCAAAGGTTATTAACATTGTTTTTGGTCTGCCTGCTTCCCAGTGAATGTGGAAGGGATGCCATTATACATATGAGGGTTAACTATAAAAGGTGCATATATTAACTAAGTATATTTAATATCAATATACAGTCATCTCATGCATATACATATATCCAATACTCTCTCCTTAACAAGTTAAGGTGGTCTTACACAATGCAAAGTGGTGTTTTGAGTGAAATTTGCCATTTTTCAAAAATGGAAAAAATACAAACTTTAAACCCTACTTAATCATATTTGTGTCATTTTATTGCTCAAAAATACCTAAAAAGCGTGAAAATTTAGCAAATTCCATAAATTAACCCTTAGCAACGCCCATAGCAACCACATGTTTGCCTGTTTAAAAGCGTTGAAAAATTTGAATAATTTATATTTAGATCAGTTTTTACCCCTCCCTTTCAAGTATACTGCATTGAAGTATTCGCATGTTAACTTTGCTACCGCTGGCCAGGATTTTCATGATTTTTCAAATCAAAATTCGAAGCCATATTTGTGTCGAAGCAGTGAAATTTTTTAGTCACTTTTGGTCGCTGTGTTTGTGTTTTTTCGCCGAATTTACTTCTTTTTGTGGACTAATTGTCTTTGGAAAATGGTAAGAGAGGGATCGAGGAAGAGAAAGAGAAAATTTCATGGGAATCGGCACGTAAATGATGCAAAGAAACCTTGTATTGACAGTATTGAGCAACCATGTGTTTCTGGTGAGTCGGTTGCTAATGTCTCTGCTTCAGCGAGAAAAATAGGTCAGTCTTGTAGCTTTGATGCTACTAGTAGCAGTTCCAAAGATGAACAATCTAAAATAACTGGTTATCGTTTCGTTGATGTGGAAATACTTAGTGAACTTTTCCAGCAAATGCCATGCAAGTTATGTGGAGAATCCAGTCTCAGTCTTGAAGATGATCCTCGGGAAAGAAAAGGTTGTGCTTCTCATCTTCGGCTGCGTTGTGATAAATGTGGTTGGGTATATACCTTTTTTACATCAAAGAAAGTCAAACATTTTTTTGATGTAAACAGAAGACTTGTTTATGCAATGAGAAGCATTGGACAAGGAGAAGCTTCTGCAAGTCGTTTCTGTTCTTTGATGAATATGCCCCCACCGCCGAAACCTTCTGCTTATTCGGCTTGTAATGATGCTTTGTCAAAAGCAGCCAAGACTGTGGCCACTGAGGTGATGGGGAATGCTGGTAAGGAGTTACACCATGACAGTGATGACGAAGTTCTCCAGTGCGGTGTTTCCTGTGACGGAACTTGGCAAAGGCGGGGATATTCGTCATTAAATGGCTGTGTTACTACCATTTCAATGGAAACAGGTAAATGCCTTGATGTTGAGATTTTGTGTAAGGTATGTCATACCTGCCAAAGTATTGAAAGAGAGACAGATGATGAAAAAAAGGCATTGCGCAAAGCTGACCATGTAGGAAAATGCAAGGCAAACTATTCAGGTTCGGCACCGTCAATGGAGACAGAGGGAGTGAAACGAATCTTTGAACGTAGTGAAGTGACCCACAAATTACAATATACAGAGTATTTTGGTGATGGTGATAGCAAAGCATTCAATGAAGTTCAAAACATTTATGGGAATAATGTCGAAGTTGTGAAGAAAGAATGTGTTGGTCACGTCCAGAAACGAGTTGGAACGGCACTGAGAAAATTGAAGAAGGAAAACAAAGGTCTTGGAGGAAAAGGGAAGCTGACAGACTCCTTTATTGACAAGCTTCAGAATTATTACGGCATTGCCATCAGAAGTAATTCTGGAGACTTGGAGGCTATGAGAGAAGGAGTACGTGCAAGTCTGTTTCACACTGCTTCTTCAGAAAGAAGAAATCTTCATTCTCTTTGCCCCGATGGTCATGACATCAGTGTCGTTTCAAGCAGGATAAAGCAAACAAGACTTCAAATTATAAGCCTGGACCTGGTCTTCCTGATGACATTATAAAATTGGTAAAGCCTATTTATGAAAGGCTGAGTAATGATGAGCTCTTGAAGAAGTGCTTAGATGGCAAAACACAGAACCAAAACGAATCGCTGAATGGCATGATCTGGAAACGGTTGCCGAAGAATGTTTTTGTTGGTGCTAATGTTTTGCAGTTTGGTGTATATGATGCAGTAGCCCACTTTAACATTGGCTCACAAGCTTCTGCCAAGATCTTGAAAGAACTGGATATGGTGCCAGGAACATACTTTGAGGTCAGGATGAAGAAAACTAACAAAGATCGAATTGCGAAAGCCAATCATAAGAACAAGGCTGAAACAAAGAAACGAAGAAAAGTTGTTCGTGGACTGAAAAAAAAGAAGGATGACAAAATAAAAGACCAAGAAGGAACCACCTATAAGGCAGGGTCATTTTAAAAACTAACAATGTCATTTACTGCTTTATATTAGCTTCCATTGCAGAAATAACTTAAACCGTAAACTTTAAAGCTGTTTTTCTCAATTCGTAAAAATGGACCGATTGCTCAATTTGCATGCATGATATCTCAGAAACTATTAAAGGTATCCTGATCAAATTTTCAGAGTTGCTAGTAAATAGTATGCTCCAGGGAATGAACTAGAATAATTGAGTTCTGCTGGATTTTCAAGGAGTTATCACTGTTTCATTGATGAATGTTTCCACATTTTTGTGGTTTGGCAGGATAAATCGTGATAATAGTTGTTCTATATGCAGTAAGGCAATGATTCTAGTTCATTCCCTAGACACTATTGTAACTTACAAAATAAAAGTTATTTTAGACTTCTATCATTTATTCTCACCTAGTTATCATGTTTGAAAGTTGACCCTTTTTTTCCCTTTGGGCGTGGCATATATTGGTTACTATGGTAACAGTTCAGTAAAGAAGAGTGTTGTCTTGGTTGAGTGACCACCCTCAACAACACTGTGAAGTTAGATTTTTGTTTTGGATTATTTTTAGGAAAAAAATTTTTTTTAAGTTGTTTGGCATTTCAAGACAGAGAAACATAAATAACTACAATCCTGGCAAAAATTATTGTTGACAGTGTGCGCAGAAATAGAAATATCATCCTTGGCCAACATATATACGTGCAGAACAATGTTTAACTTCCCCCTCCCCCCGGTTCAATGTTGAAAGCTTATACATTGGTTAGGTAAAAGCTTTGCGAAATGCATGTCAAGACCAACACTGTAGGGGGGAGTGGGGGAGACAAAGACGCCAACAAAGTGTATGCCAACAGTAATAATACTTTAGTATACATCTCAGTATCCACAGAATTTTTGCCAGCATTGTAGGGATGCAATGGATATTATATCTTGCCGGATATCGAGATTTTATTTTATTGTCTCTGGTATGTTGGATAGTTGAAAAATAATAATAATAATAATGATTTAATAGCATTTCCACATAGTTGGCTCTTCTATGCTACACGTGAGTTTGATTATAAGATAAAAAAGTATACAATACATACAACGGAGTACATAATACGACACAAGAAGTATTACAATACGTAGTATGTTGTACATTACTTATACACAGTAAAATACAGTATAGTTATACACACAATGTCAACAGAGTTTATGACGTGTCACTGATTCTGTTTTTGACTAATGTTTTGAAGTACTTGGAGCAGGTTCTGCAATAATCTTTAAATAACCAGCCAGATTCGGGGTATTATTCAAATATATAAGGTTTCAGGCCTCATGTAAGGTTAAGTAATCATTAATTGGTTAAACATGATGGTGTTTATAGTATTTTGATTTGAAATAATTAGAATGCACCCTTACGAAACTATTAGATTTTGGCCCAATTTCCTATAGGAATTCCTATAGGATCCCATAGGAATTCCTATTAGATTTTGGCCCAATTTCCTATAGGAATTCCTATAGGTTCCTATAGGAATTCCTATAGGACCCTATAGGAAATTGGGCCAAAATCTAATAGGAATTCCTTAGATTTACATAGAAATTCATATTGGATCATATAGAAATTCTTGCATAATCCTCTAAATCAAACTACCTAAAAGAGTTATTTACCAGGGTGAAGGAAAAAGAGGAACTAGTGAAGAGAAAATTTATTACAGATAAAAATGTGGCAAATATAACAGGCTATATTTACAAACAACATACTAATTTAGGCTATTTATCTTTTTAACTTATGACATTTTTCATTGTTCTCAGTTTAAGAAATGATTCTTATATTTTCTTACTTTTAGAAAATTTTTAGACATAAAATTCTACTATATTATATGACCTATATTATGTATTTAAAAAATAGAAAATTCTGTATGCACAACATAAGTTTTATTTTCTGTCATTCTTATACACAACTATGTTTAGTTCTGATTGCACAGCAATGTGTTGTGGCGAATAGAGTTTCTCACAAAGCTGTATTATGACACTTTCCACTTCACAATCAATATCATCACAGAATAAATAACAAGACCAGAAGTATGTCTCACTCGATGTCGGAATCTTTGATGTTAATGTCCCCGCGCATGTTGCCTCGTGCATCTTGTTCGTGCACCTCGTACGTCTCGTTCGCATCTTGTCATGCTCATCTTCGAAAGCACAACCAAGTCAAATGCTGTAAATTATTCAGCAATTCTGATCTGTCACAAATACTGTCTTGAAAGGTTTCGCATAACTCAACAGCAACTGAGTGTTACCTTGTCGTACGTTTGCTGTCTGTTGCAGGTATGCATTAAGGGTACTAATTGGACAAATGTTGGCATCTGAAGTGAAGCGTGAAAATTTCACACATGGTCCAGTATGTCCTGGTTGACTTGTCTTTATATGTTCTAGCAGTATAAATGTGCAGGAGCTTTCAGTGAGAGTCATTCCAGATATATTAAGCATATGAATAGACTGGCCCCACTGAGCTGTTACTAGTGACAACAGCATAACCAGCTTGAGAGTGAGTCCCTATAATGAGATATGGTCATTTGGAGTAAGGGTTTTGAGGTATCTGAGTACTTTGTTAACATCCCATACGGAGGTGTACTTTGGTACTGACTTCCTGTTTAAAAACACTCCCTTCAAGTATCTAGATACCACAGGGTGTGTACCAAATGTCTTTGATCCATCAATAGTTATGATAGTAGACAAGTCTGATCGTGCTGTGTTAATAGCTGAGTATAAACTGAGTTCATTGTCATAGAGTGTTTGCAAGAATTGTAATGCAACACTTAGACCTGGTTTATATGGATTAGTCTGTCTTTGATGACAAAAGTCCAACCACTTGTTGATGTAGGTATGGTATTGCTTTTTTTGTGCTGGTTCGCCATGATGCCATGAGCACTTTGGTAACTTGCTCTGGTAACTGGAGGTGCGAGAAGGATTCCCTGATACAGGACATACTATCAGCTTCAACTTCGGAATTGGGTGAGTCTTGTAATGTGGGTGACTCAGAATCTTGTCTGGATGCTGTTTGAAGACTCGAGGTGGGCTGTATAGTAATTGCAGTTGGGGCGTGAACCACGTTTGGGTTGGCCAAAGTGGAGCCACTAGAATTCCTGTGGCTTGGTCCATCTGGATTTTTTTAATGCAACGCTGGATCATGCTAAAAGGTGGGAATGCATAAAAATTTAGTTTCGCCCAATCTATGGTGAATGCATCAATGTAGGTACAAAGGGGGTCTGGTTCCCAAGATGCATAGGTTGTAAGTTGGTAATTTAGTCGACTTGCAAACAAGTCAACATTGAGCTCTGGGTAATTATGTAGTATCTGCTGAAATACTGATTTGTTCAGCTTCCATTCATGTTCATCTTGAAACCTCCTAGAGTGCTTGTCGGCTAAAATATTATGTACCCCAGGAATATGGGCTGCAGTTACCCAGATATTCTGTGTTATGCACCAATCCCACAATTCATAGGCAATCTTGTTTAATTCCTCAGATTTTGAACCCCCCATATGGTTAATGTAAGCTATCGCTGTTGTGTTATCTAATTCCAACTTCACATGGGTGTTGTGCATTTCAGGGCAAAATGCTTTGAGTCCAAATAGGGCGGCTCTGAGCTCCAGAACATTGATGTGCTGTTGTTGTTCAACAGTTTACCACCGGCCACCTATACTTTGCCCAGATAAAGCTGTGCCCCAGCCCGCTGTAGATGCATCTGACTGGATTGTAAATGAGGGTTTTTCATGAGTTATATGCTTATGGGAAAGTGCAATGTTGTTTATCCACCATTGCAATTCTCTATGGGATCTCCGAGACAGTTGTACCCGTCCCTGGTAGCTTCCTTTGGAGGCAGAAAGTGCTTGAACTTTCTCTAAATGTCGATAATGTAATGGTCTAAACTCCACACCTGGCAAGTTGGCTACTAGTACACCGATAACCTGAGCTAAGTCTTGTATAGTAGAGGTTTGTTTGTTAAGGAGTGCTAAGCAGCATTGCTTAATTTTGATAATTTTATCTTGGGTTGGTGTAACTGTCATAGTTAACTTTCAGGTCGAGAACAATTTCGCCCAACAAGCCTCCAGTGTCTATATTATCTGCAGCTGAGGTTTGTTCTTTCCTGGCAATTAAAGATTAAATATGAGTATCAATAGAAGGGGCAGGATTATCCTTCTCCTGGCTGTCATCTGACTCTAACACACATTCGTCCTCGGATGTGTTGAGCACGCTTTCGTCAGAGCTATCGTGACGCTTGTGTTTGCTCTTTGATGTTTTGAGCCGAGCCAGATCATGTTTCATAGATGTCATCTCGGCACCCAATTGTTGGATTGCATCCAACACAGCTAACTGATTTTCATCGTTCAGCTTGGGATTTTTGTCTGTTTTTAAACACTTGCCGTCCTCAACAGCAGTGTCTCCTGGTTGGCTAACTGAATTTTCTCGTGGCCGACAGATATCTTCAACCTCAGGAGGCCCTTGACAGGTAGCCATTATGTTTTTGTACTTTGAAGTGACGAACTACGTTCTGTCAAAAGTACTAGCTGTATTAATGAGTATTAATACTATATCTAAATCTGTTTATTGTGAAAAGAGCGGGAAGACAAAATAGGCATCTTCCCTCGTTGGTCGCAAACTGTGCAGTGCCGGATTTGGCGCAAGCGCAGTGCTATCTCATGTGATACCAACCTGCCAATCATGTCATAGAATTCACTTTTGAACTTTAGGTTCATAGGATGCTTGATAAATCTAATCATAAACATCATTGTAGTGATTGTACACTGTCTCCAAGCAAAAGATCAAGGTCAAAAGACACAGAAAACTGAGGTCATCGACAAGATCAAGTGAAGGCGAGAACATGCCATTGACTCTGGCGTCAACAAGGATACTTCGACTAAAATGCTCAAAGGTGTCAACGATATGAAGCAACACTTTGTGGCATGGACCACTCAAGTAACTTGAGCAAAAACTCTGGCACAATGTCCCGGTATTCTGGTGAATTTGACAACGATCAACTGTCGAACCCGTCAGAGGAATTCGACAATATTGTTGTCAAAAATCCCGCCATTGAGGCACCTTTAGTTGGCATTGAGCTGATACATATAAACGAAATCACCAACCCGAACGTTGTTGTTTCTCAGGAAGGAACTTCATGCAATTCCTTTGATCCTGAGAGTACATGGTCTCCTTCGGACCCCTTTGGCAAATTTTGTTTCCGCACTTGCCTTTCACCTCTGAGGCAGCAGGTTCAAGCCCCAGTGAGAACTTTCTCAATGTGACTCGAACCCAGTCTTCATGTGTTGCTCCTTTACTGGACAAACAAATTCTGAATCATATTCCCACCAACCGCAAAAAAATTGTTGAACAATGAGACAAAGATTTTGCACTTATTCAACACACATTACTAAACTCAACAAGCATTCTTTGTTATTTACATGACCGCCTCGAAAATCAGACCAAGATTTCTGACGAGGAACTGTTAAACACCCTTCAACAATCTGTGTTAGTTGGGTTCAGCTAACCACATAGTGACAATGAATTGCTGGAAGAAAATTTTGGTAACGATTAATCCTGATAAGGCACAACTAGCTGATCATGACTTACCGAACATGGGACAAATGCTTTGTGAGGAAGATTTGCCTTCCTTAGCAGCCAAACATTCCGAATTATATTGGAGCCTTGCAAAAAAACTTGCAAAAGCAACCTTACAGTGTGAAACTGCACTCTTCAGGAGGCTATCCTGTGGCATTTGTCCACCCAGTGAACAAATATAACTATTCAGATCCTAACCAGGTCAGGTCAGCAAGGATTATTTTCCACAAATACTAGACCCTAAAATTTTCTCGGTCAGTTTGTAATAAACGAACACTTCCAGATGGAAAACTTGCTATGTGCAAAACAAATTATAAATCCACAGGATTTTATGGTGAAGTTAGACCTCAAGGACGCATATCTAACAGTTGGTGTTCATCTTGACTCTCAGAAATACCTGAGGTTCATTTGGCAGGGCCAGGTTTATCAGTTCCAAGCCCTGTCATTTGGCCTAAATGCGGGTTTTCACAAAATTTCTCAGGCCAGTGGCAGCATTTCTCTGCGCACAAAACATCAGACTTCCGATTTATCGGGCGCATGAAGTCCTTTGATCTTATGACACACACACAAATATAGTGATAAACCTGCTCCAAGATCTGGGGTTCTTAATTTGTTGGGAGAAGTCAATTCTGGCACCAATCCAGATACTATATTTCCTAGGATTCATGATCAATTCAGTAACTATGAAGTTTTATTTATGTCTGGAGAAGATAATGAAAACTTCTTGCCTGTGCAAATCTTCAATGAAGGAGAACCCAACATCATTACATCCTCTATCTCAACTGTTGGGTTTTCTAGAATTTTGTAGACCTTGACCAGCAGTATGCCTTGCTCCACTCCATTTTAGGCACCTTCAGTCATGCCTGATCAAGCAAGTAGTGTTGAATAATGGGGGTTATCATGGCACAGTCCACCTGAGCAGACTTGGCACTGGGCTGCAATGATGGATTCTGAATATCCATCAGGTAAATGGTCGTCCAATTCGTCCCCCCTCATCTGAAATAATTATCACATCGGATGCCCCCAAGTTGGGCTGGGGGGCCACTTGTGGCAATTTTTCAACCAACACGGGTTATGCAATATGGCTGACAATATGTTGATTCTAAGTGCTCTCGATGAATCGTAAATTATAAGGATATTTTGTATGAACTTTATTGGCTGACCTTTGATAAACGAATTTAATTACACTAAGAACGAAATTATACAGGAAATATTCGACGAAATGGCCGAAAATTGAAAAATATCACCGGTAATATATCGACAACAATAAGCATGAGGGACTCGGACTCGTCCTTCGCACGCTACCGCGTCAACCAGTTTAAATCCACTAAAGCAAGACAAGTTCCATACGAAAAATTGGACTACAACATATACAAAGCTTCTTCAAATGTTGTAGCCTTCACCACGTCAGAGGAAAGGATTGTAAAATGGACAAAAGCATTTTTTGAGATACCACGTGGGCCTGGATATTAACGACAACACATATAGCCTCAAATCCCTGTGGGAAGAAGAAGCGAGCCCGAACGACAATTCTAAATGCGACAAGATAACAGTGCATCTCTCTCAAAAAGATAGCAAACACAACGAGAACATTGTTGCAGTAATAATCTACGTCAGTACGGGGAGAATACAAATACAACGTAAATATCTTCTTGAGTTGGGCGACAGTGAATTCATCACTTTGCTCAACATTGTCAATGCAATTCGCGATGGAGAAATATCGGACGAAATTCAAGAATCATCAGTCAACGATCTTGGCAAGTTCATCGACCTGATCTCACTAGAAGTCCAAAACACTAGAAGTCCAAGAAAACATTGAAATCGAAAATGACGGGGTAAACGAACCCACATTCACCGAAAATGAAGAAACAAATATGAACAGTCCAGATTTCTAGAACGATGCTCTACCTTCTGAGCTACAAGGTCAGGCTGAGAACGACTTGTTAAGTTATGATGTTAGTTGCATTTCGGAGGTTAGTCCTTCAATGCGTATAGCCAGCTATTAGTCTGGCAATGTTGTATGTGAATGTTGTGGTTTCCCACGTTTACGATTCCACTCGTGTAACGTTATGTAGCGGTTTTGGAGTTGTTTTCAGACGAGTGTATACCAAACCGGGCAAGCAGAAAATTCTACTTGACCGCGGCTGGGATTCGAACCCGCGACCTTCGCATTTCCAGAACGATGCTCCACCGTCTGAGCTACAAGGTCAAGCTGAGAACGACTTGTTAAGTTATGATGTTAGTCGCATTTCGGAGGTTAGTCCTTCAATGCGTAAAGCCAGCTATTAGTCTGGCAATGTTGTATGTGAATGTTGTGGTTTCTCATGTTT